AACAAGTTCCTCCCTGCTGGCGAACGGTGCCAAGCGATTTACCGAACCGTAACCGTAACCCACTACCGTGGACCCTGATTATTTTAATTGATGCATCGCGGTTGCGTCTCATTTAACCAGCGTTATTTCAAAACAGTCGTCGTTCCGACCGAACGCGTTTGTCTAGCTCCGTGGATAGGATACCGGTGTCTTCAGAGCCATCCCACGCCGCCATTTTGCATACTTTGTCGATCGAAGGATCCCACAGTGTTCGCGAAAGAAATCACTTATTTACAAATTAGGTTGTGGTTCAATTTTTTATTTAATTTCAATTTTAATATTCTTTTTTATTATCGTTCAATGGTTCCTTACGAATCCCAAAACCTCCTAATCTGCGGCAGTCATGGGCGGCCATTTTACATTGTCGATCGAAGGGTACCACAGTATTCGTGAAACATAAAACACTTATTTGCAAATTAGAATTTATGCTTATATAATACGATCGTATACAAATTACTAAACAGGAAATGTCAATGGTTCGTAAGATTGTTAATCTCTTACTAATCAAGTCTGTGACAGTCACGGTCGGCCATTTTGGGTTCAGTAGCCACTAGACTTGATTCAGTCGTAAGATAACTTACGTTGTAACAAAATCATGTATTCATTCTATTTATTTTATCATGTGTCATTTTTGTTACATTAAAATGACATACTTATGAACTGGCAAGGGGTTAAATATTGACGAGCGAGGCAATAAAACACTAGAAATCGGTAGATATAGGTAATTAGTGATACAAGCGTCGATATAGTGATTCTAAATTAGAAAATGTATCGAAAATATAACAAATTTTTCTCGTGTAAATCGTATGCTTTCGAGATAGCAGAAAAATTTGTCAGGAGATTGGGCTGACTTATCCAGCGTGTCTGTCGGTTACTCGCCATTTCTACTGGCGTTGTAAGCATCGATGTTGGCGCGATATTATTTGTTTCTACTGGTTGTAGGCTAACTCGAAGACGGTAAGATCAACGAAAGATAGATAAAACACGTTCATCAGCGTTTTAAAAACAGTAACACAAGTAGAAATAACCAATAATGGACAGACATATTAATACCGAAACTACAGACAATTATAGATTATAATACCAAAGAAATTAAAACGTTAGATACGTGAAGAAATGTATAATGCAATGGAAATAAGTGTTTATTCATTCTTTTATAGTAAATTACGGAAAAAAATTTTCAGAAATTCAGTTCAGTAAATTTTTTACAAGTTTTATCCAAAGCAAGACTTCGAACTTCGAACGCTTTATATTATTTTTATACAAAATAGAAGCGTTGTAGAAATTTGTAGATCTGTTTAACGAACGTGGGTACCAATTTAGAAAAAATTTGTTTCTTCGGTGGATCTCGAGATTCGACGTGGGTTCTTCGCGAAAAGCGTTCTCGGTGCAATTCGGCGGATAGTCGAAGGATGAGAAAATTCTAGCCACCCCAAAGTGCCATATATTGCCACGGTACATTAGTATGACGCATCGTCGCCGGACCATCCTTTTGCCGACTGAACGCAACGTGCGTTTAAACGCGGCGGAAACTGCAGCCAAAATACATACTTTGCCGCATCCAGAATTCGCTAATGTCTCTCGAAAATCTCGTTTCCTCTGTCGTTTGGCTTGTCTTCCTCTAGCTCTTCTCTTTCGTTCGCTCCTCAACTCTCGATCCCTTACAAACCGCTCGTCCAAGTTACAACCAACCCCTGTCTTTCACGTTACTCGTATTAATAATGATTTATTTGCGGGTACGTGACACCCGACACTCGATACGGTCCACACGCAAATAACGTCGAGAATACTGGTACGACAGAATTTTTGGAACGTGGACCTCGATACTTTAACACTGGAACTACCAAAGTAGTCAAAATCACTCATTTCTAATCAAACTTGTAAACAATTTAATCGATTAAAGTTTTGAAAATTTACCGCAATTTTCTATAAGAGATTGAATAAACGCTTATTTTCATTGAATTATACATTTCTTCACATATTTCTTTTGTACAAATAAACACACTATAATTGTCAATAGTGTTAGTGATAAGGGGAGATACTCTCATAATAGCTTTAGAAGTAACCGATATTTGTAAATTTGCTTTTTAAACTATCGTTAATTTCGATTGAATTTTTTTTTGCTAGAATAAGGAGACATCTTTGAATTACAGAAAACCTGAATTAGAAAATTACGTTCCAACGCGCCTAGGATTAAGGAGATCGATTTGAATCGATTCGAAACACGATGACTATCGGCGACAATTCCAAAAGCCAGAGAGACACGAGCTTTTCCATTCTCGCGACAAGATTTCGACGTCGTCGTTGCGTTTCCCACTAATGAGGACGAATCAAAGGTTCCTTGTTCGTTCGTAGGAACACCCAGTGAGAACGAATCGAGCGAACAGAGAGAATTAGGAGTCTTTGAAGACCGAGGGATGCAATTAAGTCGTCTCGATTTACTCTAGACGAAGAAGCTCGCGATTCAAAGTCACCGGTCCGACTTTTCAACGAAACGATCTATGCACAATGTCTACGTATGTATACAGGGTGTTCCGCTTTACTCGACGATCGTTCAAAATTTAAGTCGTTGTTCGTACAAGCTTTTGGGAATCGAGTTTTCGTCGTGGAAGTTCAGCTTTTAAAATTACATCAAGAAGATTATTTATACATTATTACAAAATTTTAACCAAATCCTCGAGCTGTTGTATTATATTTTTGCGAAAAGAAGTCGTGCAACAATCTTACTGTTTCAGCGAATAAAAATGTTTTTATGCATTTTTACAAACATTATCGCTGTTCTTTTAGCGTTTCTAACGCTTGACTGACATTTTCGTGTTTCCGCGCGACGCTTTCCGACGGATCCGTACGAAATGCAGTCCTCGTTCGCCGAGTGCATTCTTTGGTCTTCTCGCGTCGATTCGAACCGAGCTCTACGAACACCCGTTCTTCCCACTTTCGTATTTATAGAAGCGCTTTCCACCCTTAAATATTCATCTTCGGTTATATCGCGTCGCGTACGTAAATGGAAACCGATCGGCCAACTATTTTTATCGCGATCGCTTCACCGTCGGATTCATCCGTTCGTTCGTCCGCCGATTCGAACGCTTTTCAAAGAAAACTGAATACACGGCGCCGCCGTTTGGAAACAATTTAACCTTTTTCTGTACCAACGTGCCCACACGACGCTGACTTTAAGCCATATAATTCCACCTATAAACGTCACACTGATTCTATCTGACGTCATTAACGGCCAACGGTGTGATATACAGAGTGTTCGCCCACCCCGGGAAAAATTTTAATGGGGTATTCCAGATCCCAAAATACGACGAAAATCAAGAATATCAATTTCTTGATGGAGCCTTTATTAAAAAGTTATTAACGTTTAAAGTTCCACTAGTAATGAATTTTTTTCTCGAAAATGAGCAGGATTTCGGGAGTATGTCTATTCACCAAATATGATTGTAATTGACCCCTGCAACTGAAAATAATTTTTCCAGAACGATTTGAAACTTTTTTTTTCGTCGTAAAATTATACACCTTCTTGAATTTTTTTCTAGAAAGTGGGTAGGATTTCGGGGGTATTCCTATTCATCAAAAATAATTGTAATTGACCCCTGCAACCGAAAATAATTTTTCCAGAATGATTTGAAATTTTTTTTTTCGTCGTAAAATTTCACATTTTCTCGATTTTTTTTCTCGAAAATGGATAGGATTTCGGGGGTATGTCTACTGACCAAAAATTATTGTAATTGACCCCCACAACCGAAAATAATTTTTCCAGAACGATTTGAAATTTTTTAATTTAATTGTTAATAACTTTTTAACGAAGCCCCAATCGAGAAATTGGTATTCTTGATTTTCGTCTCATTTTGGCCTCTAGTATCCCCCATTGGTTCTATACAATCGATGTTCCGTTGTACCCGATGGTTGATGGATTCGAAATCCACGAACGTTAGTTATTCGACGAATAAAATTTGTCGAACTCTGCTTTTACCTCACGCTCGATTTCTCTCGTCGGGAATTACTCGCGTTTTGGCAGGAAGCCCCGAAGCGGTCGCTCACGTCTCGGCAACGCGTCATCGGCGAAGAAATATCGCGACAGAGATACGATTCGTAAATAAAGAGGTGGCCGCGATTCACCGGCTCTCGAGCGCGATCGACCCGCGATGGATCGATCCGTTGGATCCTCTCCAGCGAGCAAAGACGCTTAGAACCGTGTGTCGACACTCAGAATCCAGAAACCGAGTGTCGATCGATTATTATTATCGACCATCGATAGTTTTCAGGTGTTCTACGAGCGTGGGACAAAATCCTCTGTTCGACGTTCGGTGTCCGTTAATATTTTCTATATCAGAATATATTGGGTTGTTCGGATCAAAAATCACTTGCATCAGTTTTTTATAAATAAAGGTCAGGCTCCCAGGACCAAAATGACCAGTACAAAATTCAATAAAATATTTACATATTATAAGGAAATTGTTCCTTTTCAAGAAGGAGGAAAACGAAATTACTTCCCGAACAACCCAATAACTGCAAATATTATTAAAAGTAGAATTAGAATTAGTAAAATTGACAATATCATTGGGGATAGACTACCTTTCCTAACTCCGAGTTATCGTTGCATTTAAGGATTTTTGCTCTCAAGTCTAATTCGTTAAAATGGGTCTTTAGGGTCCTGTTGATGAGATGGAATTCCCCTCTACTCGTTTGCCATCCTTTCGCACTCTATAGCTCTACAGAGTCCCAAGGGTCCCAAGATGGAGATGAGGCAAGTGGTCTTTAGTCAGAATGAACCCACCAATTTCGTCAAAGTTGACCACGCCGTGATGGCTACCGAGGTAGTCGTTCAGCTGTTGGAAAACATCAACTAAATCGGGGTTTTCGACTGTTCCACCCTCTTGCCCCTATACTCTGTCGCAGAAATTATCATCAATATTCCTTAATAAGATTTAAACAACCGATATCGTGTTTGTTCGCAGGGTTCGAGCAAACGGAGCCGCAGTCACCTCAAATCAGCGGAAGTAGCCTGGATCGTCTGAACATGATCGTTCAGAGTATCAATGATCCATCTCGTTCGACCACCGAAACGCATCGGTATCCTTCCCACCAATGAGAACGAGGAAAACAGTATTAAAAGGATCGAAGGGCTTTTGTCGGCTGTTCCTGCGCCAGAAATGGGCAAAAGTTCGAATAATAGATAACCAATAACGCGTTACACAATTCAATTTTTAATCCTCGTGAAATACTTCAATTTATAATGGAAATTTTTATTTTTTAACTTATCTTTTACACGTTATTCGACAGTTTGTTCTACGATAGATTAGAAGTTTGCCCATCTCTGTCCTGGGCACGCCAAGTGGATGCCAAGTTCCTAAATTCGAAACGCCATCGATCAGAGACGGGCAAAATTTCATTCGAACAATGAAATTAAATTTGAATTCAGCGTGAAATGTTTTATTCTGTACTGAAAATTCTAATTTTATATCCAGTGAGTAACGGATAAATAATTGCTTACAGGAGTTGAAACAATTATGAAATGTTTTAAATAGGAACTTTTGTAATAAACTCACGTTGCAAGTTTCAGCGAGGATGGATGAGTAAAAGTTCTAGTTTGTATAAAATTTATAAGAAATGCAAATGAAAAGTTCTTGTGTAACGGTAATAGATCGCGAGCGACGCTCGATCACTTTTATACACGTCAAAACTCTCCATCGTTCTTGAAAAGTTTCGATATTATATTGGCATTAAAGCTATCCATTATCTACAATGTACTATAAATACGAAGTTTCGTTTATTTTACGAAACTTTTTCTAATAAAATTTCTATGATAACAGTTCTCTTGGATCCTTTTATGAGTTCTAAAATATCTCCGCCGCAGGAAGTCTTTAATAAACTTCACGAGGCGCAAGTGTTTTTCGATAAAACAAAATCACAAGAACATCGTCTTAAAGAAAAAAAAAAAACAGTTCGAACGGAATTTAAAGAAAATAAAATCCGACCGATTCCTGTTCTCCTGTTGTTTATCCTTTGTTCGTTGGTAGAAATTTGTATCCGGATAAGAATTTTGTCCATATCTGGCATCGATTCAAGCGTCCATCTCGCAACCTCGCCGAACGTTCGTCCCGTTAAAAATATTTAAATCGCCAGTCTCGACACGAACATCGCCGAACGAATTAGTTCGCCGCCACGGTTCCCCCGACGCTCGGAATCGAGCAAATTTCATTCACCGTAGACGAATAAAAATTTTAGATCCGTTCGCGAGCCAACTGCGTTCCGTTGACTCGATCGTAAATTAGGATGCATCTCCTTTAAACCGACATCCGCGTTTGCGTATCAATCTAAAATTTATATTCTTTGTTCGCGAAATAAAATTTGCCCGACCCCGCTCGACCTTCTCCCGCTTCCCGAGGGAACCGTCGCGTATCAAAATGCGCGTGTATCTATGGACGAGAAAATAAACGTGGACGAGTAAATCATACTCTGTATCCTACTCGCGCGACATCTCCGACAAAAATTTTTCACGTTCGTACTTTCATGTTCGCGATTCTGATCCCGCGTAATCCCGATTCCATCTTCTAAGCGCGCACGCGCACGCGCGTACGTATGCACACACACGGATACGTTCATCCGAGCTACACGACAATAAAGAGCATCGAGAATCGTTTAAATCCTGTGACTGATTCGCCTGTTCGTTTATTTCTTTTTTTATCTACCGTTCATCTTTCGTTCCGCGTTTCGTTACCTATCGTTTCGCTCGACTCCATTTTGGTTCGAAGACCAAACAAATGGACGGAACGACTCGCCGCAAATGTAATCGAACCGGACCTCCTTCGACTAGAATTGTTGCAAATTGTTATGTGACGGTTCTGATTGAAACAATTTTGAGAATCTTTTATTTCGAATAACTGTAAATCGTGAGTTCATCTTCTTGTTGGATGAGGAATAGAGCCGTATTTTGTTATACAAGGAAAAATTATAATGAGAGATTCTAGAGGCAAAAATAAGACGAAAATCAAAACTATTAATTTATTGATTGAGACTTCGTTAAAAAGTTAGTAACGAAGTAAAGAATTTTTTTCTCGAAAGTGGATAGGATTTCAGGGGTGTGTCTATTCACCAAACATGATTGTAATTGACCCCCGCAACTAAGTATAATTTTTTTAGAACGATTTGAAATTTTTTAATTTCGACTTTGTACAAAAAAATATTTTCAGATACGAAAAAAAAATTTTCAAATCGTTCTGGAAAAATTATTTTCGGTTGCGGGGGTCAATTACAATCATTTTTGGTGAATACACATACCCCCAAAATCCTGCGCATTTTCGAGAAAAAAATTCAGTATGGGTGGAACTTTAAACGTTAATAACTTTTTAACGAAACCTCAATCAACAAATTGATATTCTTGATTTTCGTCTTATTTTGGCCTTCAGAATCTCACATTCAAATTTTTCCCAGGGTTGGTTAAACACCCTGTATTGTCATCCTAACATCTTCATTATTTTTGCAGATACGACAGAACGTGATAGCGAAAATACGTCAAACATCGATTGATGAATTAAAAAAGAAATATGATTCTGGTTAAAAATACAAATCTGTCCAAAAAAGAAGTATTCAAGAAAAAATCAAATGAAAATCTCTCTGATCGCTATCATGACGTGCATTCGTCTTGGGTAATTTTGCATAAACGCGCCTGTTGGCATAATAGAAATGTCTATTTCTAATTATTGCGTTTCGAAAATCTCTAGGGGACTGGGTTGTACGGTGAGTGCAAGTCGGTAAGAGCTTCCTGCCTCGCTTCTTCCGACCCTAATCGCGGGCGGCTCGTCCACCGAGACAGCTGGAGGCCCGGTCGATTTATGGACACGGCCTCGAAAAGCCGACGGCGGCACGACCAAAGAGGCGAACACAGGAAACAAGAGATCTCTTCTGGACTGGTAAATCGAAAAGCTTGTAAAGTTCACGTATCGACGCGCTCGCCTTGCCGTGATATCGGCACGTTTTCAAAACATACGTGACGAGCCCCTCGGGAGACTCGTACGTGCATCCATCCTCGCCCTTCGGGATCCGCTTGTTATTAGCGGAAGTTGGAACAAGAAGCCGCCATCCGTGTCGATTCGAAGGAACGAAACAGTCTCACGATCGCGTTTCCTCTTGTACCAACAAGTACAAACGAACACCTGCCCCCCTCGCGCCAAAACTAATCCAGTGACGTAGCTACAGTTTGTGCCGCCTGGGACAATACCTGGACCCCCAAACATAACATATACATTAAATAAACCCACTCGAATGTATTTGAAACTATTGGCAATAACAATTAATTTTGTATCAATTGATGCAACTCGTAATTCCTGGCACAAAACTACTGAAATGTCAATGACGAAAAATCGTTAGTTTAGAAGATATTTTAATAATACTTGTACCGCCATTACTCAGAATATTACAATTAAAAAATCTCCTAAACTAATGTTTTCCATCTAAGAAAACAAAGTTGACTCAACGCTGTATCATTTAACACCTATGCATCACTATGTATCTATCTCAAACCAAATGGTTAAAAAGAGAACAACTGTGTCAGTATTGTCCCGGAGGCGCCATAGTACCTAGGTACGTCCCTGCAAAGCTACATTCGACATTGTACAGTCCAGTCGATTCCGCTTGTGTCCACCCTCGGCGGGATCGTGCCCTGTACTCGTCGCAATCGCTAACGTATCGATCTATCGAAGTCGAAGAGTCGAGAAGTAGCGGCGATATCGATTCGAGGAGCTTCCTTCGATCTCGTTGTTGGATTCGACCGCGCGACGGATCGCTGTAATTAGGGGAAAAGCGAGAAAACGCGTCGGCGTTTGGTACGGGGGTTACCCAACATTAGACGAAAATATCCATGTCGCGGGAGTAAGAATAGTTGGGGACGACATAAATATTTTCGGAGTTACTGACCCGTCAAAACTCTCGGCACTTTGAGCACGCGTCGTCCCCTCGACAACTGCAAAAGTCCCTCGATGGGACCCCCTTGGCTGCTCGCTACTGAACTTCCTTTCAACACGAGGCCAAACAACCGGTAGGGTACCATTCCGCTAAACAGATTATTATTCATTACATACCTATCGTTGCATTTCAATATATTTGTATATAAATCCAATCAACGATATTTTTGTGTTTGTCAATATTAAAAAATGAAAATAAAACAATAAGTGTGCCGCTCTTAAAAGCAAAGTTTTATATACATAATAAATAAGTTATTTGTAGATGTTTAACATCGAAGTATTGACCGTCCAAGTTGAAAACGTTTATGTACAAATATCGTTTGATTTCAATGAATATTAAATATTCCACGTGAGACTAATACTCTTATTATTTATTAGATGTCTGTAAAATTCATTTTCCAAACGCGATATGTATTTAATAAATAATAATTTAATGCTTTAACGGATGATTTTCAAACAAGATGGGCGCCGAAATGTTACGAAAAAATAGCGACATCTACGGCAGGATGTCTAAGTTTGTTGAAAAATAGTTTCTCTTTCTATCGACAGATAGCACTAAAAATTGGGCGCCATAATCGACAAATATTTTTAATTTTAATATAAAAATACATACTTACAGTTAATAATTTAACACAATCGGTCTCACGTTGGAGATATCTTATCTTGTTGGTTTGAGAAGAAATTTCCCGATACATAAATGCGCCGCATAATATATCTAATCATTGTCTGGAAAGGATTAACATTAGGAGCGTGCAGGTAATCCGAAATTCGAGTTTTGCTTCGCTTACTTGAGGCTATTATTCGAGATTTACCAGTAAATCGACTTACCACTCGCAATTAGTAAATTTCTCGACGATGCCAAATCAATCTTCGGACTAACTACTTATCACCCCTAATTAATAGTTCCATAAATTTTATTTACACTTTGATTTAAAGAAAACATTATTTAAACATAGAAATTACTTACAAACAAATATATATTCGATATTAAAATTCTAATAAAAAGTTACATAACAAATGTAGTCGAAGGTGGAGAAGAGAACAAATGAAATTGAAAAATTATGATCTTTTATTAATGAGATCTGTTTTCCATATGTACATTCATTGTACCCTAAACCTTATTTTATCATTCACAATATTCTTAGTTTGGAAATTATTCCTTCCTCGTAAGCATGTGCTTTTTCTTTACGTTTCTGACGCAGTAAATGTATATGCAAAAATTCGTGTCAGAGTTTTTTTTTAAAAAAACACAGCATAAAGACAGCACAGGAATGCTCAAAATACTCCTTGTTACATATTAAAAAATCAGGTTCGCGCAATCGACGTCGAGCAAGCTTACCAACGATTCTTGATCACATATATTTTGTGGTATTACATCCTTCTGTTATGTTCGTATGCCCATTAATTCTTGTTATCTTGGTATACCATGCAAATGGTACATAAATAAAATTATGTTTTATTTTACGAACACGTAAAAAAGAAATTACTTTTCAAGTAAGACAAATTCTCTTAATGTCAGTTGAGACCAGAAGATTTTAGAAATGCATATAAACCTAGAGCCAAAATTGTTACTACCGTGATGGTTTTATAATTTCTAATACGATACGGTATTCTCGATGCCGGTTTCACAATTTTAAGTTGACGTTGCCTCTCTCTTTCCTGACGGCTCGCTTCCGCTTTTGTTTTCCACTCTTGTTCTTTACACCTTCTCTTTCGATCATACTCTGTAACGTCGTTACTTATAGACTCGGGAGGATACTGACGATATAAATTTGTCGCTTCGATCAAAAGCGTTTCAAAAGGCAAATCGTCTGGCAACTATAAATAAAAATAATTCTCGCGTGAACTGCTCGAGATCGAATAAAATTTTTATTTACACGTAACCAGTGGAAAACGGTACTCACGGTACACAAAACTTTATGCGTATGACCCATGTCGGGTGTAGTATTAAAAATTTCTGTTGCTCTATGGGCTACGATCACAGTGCTTAGGTAAAGAGGCATTAATGGAGGACTGCAGAGAAAGTAATCGAACAATCTATGTAACAACTTTCTATTTTCCGCATATTTGTGCGCGTACCATGTCGTGTACTCTGCCAATGCAAAGTGTGGAAATAACTCTACGCTATAGCATAAAATAGTTTTAATATCTGTAAATGTCTCATGCGTAAATGTAAAAGTTACATGCTTATTCTTGTACTAACTTTTCCAAGTGTTCCAACAAAGTGGGATGCACTCTCTCCAAGAGTGCAAATATATAAAATAACTCTTGATTTACTTTCTCCATCGTTCTTTCCATAAATCTTTCTAGGAATTCTAACGAGATACCCTCAAGTACATTCAAAGCCTTTTCTAAACCCATAACAAGTAGAACAGTTGCGGCTATGTCGTTATATCCCTGGTAGTAACTGGGTACGTATTATTTTATTTTGTATTATCTACGTGTCTAGAAGTAATGTTTCTCTATGTATCACCAGACAGCATTTAAATACAGAATGCTCTCTGGTACGATAAAGAAATAAATGGTACTGACTTTAACATAGAATGTTTGTGAAGAACCCAGCACATTAATTGTGTCAACTGTTCGTGAAAATGATCCATTTCGTGTTGCGTAGCATTTTGAGAAATATGGCTCCCGCTACGAGCGACATCCTTCAATATTTGTTGATAGACTTCGTTTGGTATAAGATTGTGTATCGTTTCTAATCCGTTTATTGAAAAAATACTTTCTTCGGACAGTCTTAGAAGTTTTGGCCACAGAACCCTTCGTATACCATCTACAGATCATCTTCGTGATTTTAAGATTCAATTGCACATTACAACATTATTTTCAATAAGGAATCGATAATATTAAATCCGATAATTTCCATGCACGAATTTATTCCGTTTAATTATCTTTGTTAGAGAAAATGCGTAGGTAGATTATATTGTATCGTTTATACGTAAATTCCTTATTGATAACAATAGATTAGCCTATCAATAAAATACCGTTTACAAGCCCCTCGCTACTGCAACCCAGTAGCCTAAGTTCTCCTAATGTCAAGTTCGGATTATCAACGCTCCCTCGAATAACGCTTATTTTCATCCGTTCCCTATCCATCAGTGTCTCTGTGCTATCAAAATCACCTTCCAATAAACTATTATCGTCTTCACTGTTTAACACACCGTTTTGTTTACCTGACGAACTAACATCCGCGATATCGGGTATTCGCGGTATAACGTTATCGTACCATGCCCTTGTGGAATTTGACATTTTTACGAGCGGGACATCACTTTCGGAATCCGAGTCTCTATCTATTTTCACTGTTTCAATTACATTTCTTCGTCTGGCTTTCAGGTTATGTTTTTCAATAGAAACGGCCATTTTCGTGGGTGCCACTGGGTCACTGGAATCTTCGTCCACAGATTTTTCCTCTTCGTGGAAACGTTTCATAGTACGAAAAATTTAAAAACAATTCCCGAAATTTAGAACCGAACAACAATCTGACAAGACTGTCAAGAATGACAAGCATCGATCACCGTTACTCGCTCGAAAGAGAATAACCGATTAATCGAAACCGAGCAGCGCGATTCGAGCTAACATGACGTGTACCGTGACGTGGCCCATCGTTTCGTCACAAATTCGATATAGAATAGATATGAGATATATTTGGCTCGAACGTTTACACGTTTTAAATTGTACGTGAAATCTAAGTGACAATTCAACCAGACTTTTAAGCAGAGAGAAGATCAGTGTTACCAGACGACAGACCAGTGCTCGGAGAAAATTGCCCCTCCACTTATGCACGCTTCGGCAAACTTCGGCAAAGTTGAAATATTTGAATGCTATTTATCTTGTGCGCTTTTCTAACTGCATTCTCTATTTATAACAGATTCTAAAAATATTTTCTATCTGTTAACTCTACGTGCAAAAAATAAAGTATATTAACGTGTTAACTGCTATGCCAGTTTTTCTTGACTATTTTTCAAATTACAATGCGACAAACATGTAGAAATATTCAATAGCTCGACGAAGTCCATACAAAATATATCTGGGGAGTTTAAACACAGAATTCTAGGGTACCCGAGAACCTAATATTATCGATTCAGCAGAATAAGATTACAACGCTAGTAGCGGTAAGAATTAAGACGAACTGCTTCAAAAAGTACTCCATGTTCTATAATACAGTAATGGTAGATCTCATCTCATACTCGGTCATCGTATCGTAGTAACGAGAGATAGAAACGATCGCGAGTAACGTAACAGTAAGTTTATTCCATTTTGCAATTAAAACTAACAATTTGCTTTGAGACGTATTAATTTGAATCGGTGGGATGGCTGGACTAGCAAGTACTGCGTACAATTTAATTTTTAAAAGGACCTCTACGCTTGTCTTTACCCTAATGTTCACCAGTTTCTTCGTTGAGCGAGGGATCGATGTCTTTACAGACAGTGTATTTGGGAGCGTCAACAAAGGGGTTTGTATAAATTAAATTCACGTTTAAAGATTTTTATAGTATATTGTGTAAATTAGCAACTTATTCAAGGAACGTGCTTAAATGGTTTTCTATCGCATATCGAATTGTTCAAATTCATCGATTATTACGTTAAATAATTTTGTTAAACAAGTTAATAGTGTAAGTTTTGCATAAAAATCATATACGTTATGTGCAATTAGTGCCTTAGCTTTTTGCAAAGAATACTAAATTGTATGTTAAAACGGGATTGCATAACAGGGAGATTATTTTGCTTAGAAAATGACTAAACTTTTCGGAATAACGTTGTTGGTAATTTTTGTTTCAGAAACTGTGGAAACATATCGAGCATAAATATGAATAATAGACGGAAAATGTTATCTAATTTATATTAGATATTCGTATATAATTTATATTAAATAGGTACATTACATTGTTATAATTATGTGAATAAAGAACAGTCTTAAACACAATATTATTTTTTAACTTTTATACACAATATGTATTTATTATTAAAATATATAGCTACTACTTATATGATAGTCACCAAACATCTATCGTTAAAACGGTTCGATAAAGCGACCAGAAAACAGTGTCGTATGTGTTACAGAGTCGACGATTAAAAACAGAAATGGTCTATTGAATTTGATGTCATTGTTCCAAGATGAAAGGGGCACGAATCCAATTTCTGTTAAGATATAAATTACGTATATAAATTCTAAACGTGTCAAGGAAATTGAGAAAAAGGTTTTCTTTAAAATACCTGTATCAGCTACAGCTAATGTTCCATCTTCGTCTACTTCTATTCTAACATTTTGAAATATACTTGCTACCTTTAGAGAACCATTGGATACGATGTTCGTTAAGTTTGCATCGGATTCAAATATACTCTCAATACCCAACTAAAATAAAACATTGTTTGCAATATTTGACAGTACTCGTACTCTGAATCAAGTTCTAGTTAGGATTAGAAATAACAGAACTCACGTGTTGTAATGTAGGTACTAAATTGAGACTGTTCTCGATAGTAAATTTGGGAAGATAAATGGTAGCATCTCTATCCTTTAAATTTGCTAATAACACGGAAACGGGAACAGTGGCTAAGTCTTTAGATAATATTCGAAGATATGGATCACTTTCTTTTCTAGTTGGCATTAACAACAACATAAATGTTTTGTTATCCTGAAATGTTAATATGCTCATGTTATGAAAGTTACAGCGACTCACGAAAACGTTCGAACGTTCGCTGTTAAAACTTTAAACGATTATCGTTTAAAATTCTAGCCGCGAGTGTTAGAATACTTTCGTGAGCCACTGTCTTTCAATGACTATTGCCGATACGATTTTCGTACCGAGTATGGAATTTCGAAAACCTCCGCATCGATCGAAGATATCTGAGCGTATCTGTACGTGGATTCGTGTATCATGAAGTCGATGTTTCGACATTCACCGTTTGGTGTAAAGAAGCAATGTATCTTCGTTTTCTTCTTGTTGAACGATTTTAACCAATGCCCTCTAAAGTAGATGACCGAGGTTAACACTAAACGCGTGTCAGCTTGAATACTGTTTACCAAGGGGGAGGAAATTTTATTGCGCGATGCCTGACGAACCCAGTCATTAATAATGCCCGCGGCGCTTTGAGTGTCCGCAAAGTTCACACTTTGAACATCACCTTTGTAATGTAACTGTAAAGCGTTTCTATAACTATCCAGCACGTTAAAATTCTTATCTACCCACAGACAAGTCGCTATATCAATTTCCGTACCATTTTCGTTCCTCTGCAAAAATAAGAAACGCGTTGCGCATGTAATGAAACCTACCGGAAGTCAAACCTGGAACCAATTTCTATCAAAAGTCCTTAATGGTACAAAGTTTGTTTAAAAGATGTTACAACACCAGGTATTCTTTTAAGGGTAACAACCTGAAATAAAGCGTTTTTTTGCGATTTTTATTTGGATGGATGGAAAAATAGGAGGATGATAATACTCAAGAATGTTATCTCTTATTTTTCCATCCATTTAAACAAAAAAACGCTTCATTTCAGATTTTTACAGTGGTCTTACCCTTTAAATGAAAAGTATAAGCTTTAAAAAAATTAAAGAAGAATTAGTCGTTTCGATTAAAAATTACAAATTTGCAGATACGTTTGTTGACCTACCTTTAGAGATTTCAAAACAAGTGTCGTAATTTCTCTTCTCCTCGACTCGTTTTCCGGTAATCTTAGAACCGAAATTATTTCTCTTTTCGTTTCTTCGCTTGCACCGTCCGAAAGCATCGTCAAAGCTGTTTTAATGCTCGCAGGCGACGATACTAGATTTCCTTCGTATTTTTTGTTCAAGACCTAAGAAACGAGAACATATTCGATGCTTAGAGTTGCTTGGAGTTAGTATACGAATTAATTTGTCCATCTCTGCTTACCTGCGAAAAGTACATGTTGAAGAGGTTGTTCCGATCTTGGGCATTCAAGCCTGCCTGCAAGGTTGAGTCTAGAAATATGTTCACGTTAATATCGTGCACGGATGCGTTTATTCGTTTAATGGAAAATGGCTGCTAAGAGAAAAGATCGTTATATCGCGTTGAACACACGTTGAAAATCATTGTTCTTTTTCACGGTGTTCTGGAAGAAATAGAAATTAGCGATAGCCCCGAACATACTTAACGGAACAAGTTCAGACAGAGTTTCTAGGATTTTGGAATAACATCGTTAGGATTACCGAGATTCCAGGCGTGGGTGTCAATGCAAGCAAATGTAAGAGGCTTGAATAAATTCATAGAGTAAACAAAAGAAAACTATAAGAAACAGAAATACAAACGTAACGATTTAAACATTTTTGTACCGTATACCTTAAAATTAATATCATAATTTGGTAACTGTAAAAATAAAGGAAACAAAAGATGCAGGGTTTTCACGTGTAAAGATTAATGGCACAGTCGTTATATCAGCAAAATAAAAAATAGGGATGTTGAAAACTTTGACACCATCTATGGATAAGCTAAAGATAAAATTTCTATTACAATATTATTGCTTATAGTTGATAATTATTCGAGACTATGGAAACATAAATTAACGCCATTAAATTGGCATAGTGTTGGCGTTAATAATCTTTACATGTGGAATTTTTATGCTACAATTAAGTTTGTTACATTCAATTCGAATTTGGGCGAGAAGCAGTTAAATTGAATGTAATCAGAAGGCTAGGAAAGGGCAGATACGCAAAGGCAACCGTTCGTTCCAGTTGGTTCACCAATTATTCCCAAAAATTTGCACAGCCATATCGAGGTAATAGATTAACCTGCAGCCGATACTGCTGGGCCAAATTTGGATGGAAAGTTCTGCATCGAGTTGGGGCTCAAAGGGCTGGCCTCTTGTCTAGGTTCCATCATTTTGCCTACGTAGAGGATCGTCCCAGTAGATTCGTCTTCGATGTAAAACATGAACGGATGATTCGCGTGGAACGTTTCTTCCCCGATTTTATTCCCGACATCGATCTCTAATAAAAGAAAATAAAAATGCCACTGTGAGCGTAAGAAGCATTTACTCGCATAGGTGGGATAAGAAAATATCTACCAGTGGCCGCGTAAGCCGTAGTTCCCTTTTCATTCACTTCTATACCAGTCTTCTGCAAAATGTCCGAAACTTTCAGGTGTCTGGAGGTTCGTTTGGTGCGAGCTATACCCGTCAACGTCGCCGTGTCGTCGAAAATGTCGCGGATACCGAGCTGTTCGACGAAACATCTTGTTAAATTGTTGGTATTTGATTATTCGAATACTTAACTATTCAAGAACTTAATTGTATCGAAACTCTGGTTTACAGAAACAGTCGATTTACGCGATAGCGAAGCGTACCTCGCGTAGCACGGGTTCCAAGTGGCTGGTGAATTCGAATTTGAATTTCGGGATGGAAACATCGACGGTTAAATCCTGCATGAGCCACACGTATCGAGTCAGCACGAACGGAGTGATTGCATTTACGAGCTTGTCCATTCCGTTCCTAGTACGCGGCAACAGGAAATACATGGCGAACTTGTGCCCCTAGCATTGATCAAGAAAAGACATTGGAGTAAAGTAGATCATAAAATACGAAACATATGGGACAGGGTTCAACGTACGTCGTACGGTATACGTAGAATTTTCGCGTCCAGCTCGGGAGACTCGGAATAATAGAAGCGTTTAGTTACACGCATAAATGGTACATTCACGACTGCATTGTCGCCCGTGTAAAACGGTCCTGTACGAGTACTTTCCGGATTGAAGTATTTGCGACGCCACGATCCTTTGAAGAAGAGCGCGTTCATGATGACCATCAACGAGTTCCTCACGTTGCTCTCTGGAAATGAAACAGAGTCTGCATTCGATGGTATTTCATTATTGCATTTAATTTCACTATGACGCTTCTAACAGATTGTTGTAATCGAGGTCTGGGCTAACTTAAGAAGAGAATTATAGCTTATCGTTCTTCCTATTTTCTGAACAGACGTTATCCTTACCGTCGTCTATCATCTTATCGATGTTACCATCGGTCAGGTTGCTAACCCAGTTGTTTATTGACTGGACCAACGGACCAGCCTCGGTGAAATTCGCGTTGATCACGTCGGTATTGTAAAAGGTCTTCACTATCGCCTCGTATCGCTGTCTGGTCAGAATGTTCGAGTCGACGTACATTCGCGTTCCGATGTTCAACGTGTATGCTGGTGAACTTGCCTGCAAGAAATTCGAAGCACATTGATCTCCAAGCTGGTGAAAAGGAGACACGTATGCTTTAGAGCAGGGGTCGGCAACCTATGTTGCCCAGGCTTGGCACTCTACACTACTCTACAAATTTGGTATCAAATTCTTCTCTTCTGGAACTCCTCTATGAGTAATGAACTATTACTTTGTGGTAAAAAGAATTAAGGCGGCACTTTGAATCATATTGGTAGAATGGCTGGGCACACACCAGCTAGAAGGTTGCCGACTCCTGCTTCAGAACGTTTACCTGGAGCGAATGCAAAATCGTGGAGAACCTTTCTCTGGTAGCTGTTCGAGTAAGGGGCAGCTGCATCACGGTGGCAAGCTCGTGCGCAGTTTCATCCTGGGCGCCTTCGTACAGCAACACCAACGCGATCTTCAGAGATATGGGCGATACGAGAACATTCCCCGAGTATCTTCTGTTCATGGCCTGCAACAATGCGAAAAGAAGGGTGTTTTAGAGGGTGATCGGCCCCTAGGTCCTCGTGCCCCCCACCTATCCTTTCTTAATCCTTTCCCTCCCCCCATTCCTATTCTTGGTAGACCTCCAATACGTGGGGCGGCCCGTCAGTGCTCCCCCACATCGGTGGCTGGAGGAATGACGGGCCGCCACTGGGGGCTGCAGGTGCTCGGGCCTCTTGCACCGAGGCAAGGGCACCGGAGCCACAGGTGTTGGGTGACCTGGCGTCCGTGGCAGAGAAATCAAGGGGAGGAAGGACACATTCGTCCCCCCCCCCCAAGGATGAGCCCCAACAGGCATGGCGTGGTGGGGGGCTCTGTGATACTAGAGTTCCCGGTCCCCCACCGCAACGCCAGAGGACGGTCACCGTGGGGTTTTAGCCGATAGGAGTCCGGCACTACCCCGAGGCCCCCCCCCCCCTCTATTTAGGGGCCACGGGGTGTCCATGAGGATTTCTCAACTTACAAAAAAAAGGGTGTTCGGCCACCCCTGAGAAAAATTTTAATGGGAGATTCTGTAGGCCAAAATAAGACGAAAATCAAGAATGCCAATTTGTCGATTGAGACTTCGTTAAAAAGTTATTAACGTTTAAAATTCCAACCATACTGAATTTTTTTCTCGAAAATGCGCAGGATTTCGGGTGTATGTGTATTCACCAAAAATGATTGTAATTAACCCCCGCAATCGAAAATAATTTTTCCAGAACGATTTGAAATTTTTTTTTCGTCGAAAATTTCCACTACCTGTTCGAATTTTTTTCTCTAAAATGCGCAGGATTTCGGAGGTATGTGTATTCACAAAAAATGATTGTAATTGACCCCCGCAACCGAAAATAATTTTTCCAGATCGATTTGAAAGTTTTTTTTTCGTCACTTCGTTATTTCGTTATTTCACACCTCGAATTTTTTTCTAGAAAATGGGGGGTATGTCTATTGACCAAAAATGATTGGAATTTACCCCCTGCGCCCCCTGTCGATGAGTCAGTAAGTAGAGTTTCTCATGCTGAGTGAGAACCACTGTCGCGTGCACGCAGATTGACGTTCTACAGGCGGAGCTTTAAACGTGAATAACTTTTAAACCAAGCCTCCATCAACAAATTAGTATTCTTGATTTTTATCTTATTTTGACCTCCAGAATCACCCATTAAAATTTTTTCTAGGAGTGACCTAACACCCTCTATGTAAGACAATATTTTCCAAAGTGGACGAAGAATTTTATATTCTTATAATATTGTCTGGTATTCAAATATAATTGTTATAATATTGTCTTAAGCAGAACTGGAATTTCGTAATCGTTACTCTAAGCAATGTCCAGTCGAAAATGTTGAAACGTTCTCCTTGGTAGGGCACGAAGTCGTCCACGTCGTATTCATCGTCGTGGTTCGTGATCGAAGGATCGATGCGCTGCGTCACGTTCGAATTAATGGAAACAGGTCTCAGCAGCTGGGATTTGCATCCTGTCGTCGCTAAAATCGCGATGAACGCGATCGTTGTGTATCCTAAAATTAATGTATCTTAATAAATAAAATTGTAACTTCGTAATTGTACAATTGTTAAACCATTTCGACTCAGAAGATATCTCAACCGAATTACATGTTTTTAGAATCTTCGTCTCTCTGTTCCGAGTCTATCAATTTTTTATATTTGCAATAAGTTTCAAAATACGAAGGTGAACGCGTTAAAAAAGTACACAGACATTTAAAAGTCAATAAATATATCTACAAAAATTGACATATGTATTTCGGAAACTTTTGGTTACAAAAAAATTCCCAAAGCACTTCTAATTGAAATCCTCCTTAAGACCATTTTCAAGATGGCGCGCAACTTCTTTTCGAAGCTTTATAACTTCGTTAATTTAACACGTATCGGTATAAAATTCACAGAAAATTTCAAGAATCCATAGCTTTAGGAATTCCAATAAAATAAACGATTATTTTGTGTATATGTCTGACGGAAATCCCACGTTACTCATCCGTAATGACGATCAGGAAGTAGGAAAAAGATTCGCCGACCTTTGTCGATAAACAGACCTCGACACTTTTGAACCGACGCTTTCTCATTTCATGGTAATTCGATTTTTCAAGCATAATTTCGACGCTTCGTTTCAAGAAATATTTTCGAAAATGATAGTTCTGTATTTACAGTAATTAAGCAACGAAATATTCTTAAAAATAATATTCTTATAAATACTGAATGTTATTCGAAGTATTATTAAACGTATCGATCGTAACAAGCAAGTTTCAACCGTCATGTTTGGTCCTCCTTGACTCTCGCTCATGCAAACTGTTTCTTTCTTTCCAAAAACTTCGAAATAACGGAATACTCGAAGTACTACTTAACAATACGTATAAAAATTATTTTCGTTTCAATTAAAGTTTTGTAACCGATTGATCGCGATAACATCATCTTGACAAATGTCGAGAACAAGGACGCGAGAGCCGCTTGCACGAAAATAAACAATTTCTCACCCAGCATTACGTTGTACTTCATCGCGCCGATTCGCGTTGCGCGTAACAGTGAATCTTCTGCGCGACCTGAACGAAAACCGTCCGTCGAGACAATGGTAGAAAATGGCAAAACGGCCTCTGATCTCATCCAACTGTGTTCACCAAACGCAGAACCGGTCGGTCGGCTTGTCCGTCCGTCCGTCCGTTCTTTGGCCCGCGTACGGTTCGCTGGATGAAAGAGAAGATAGCGAGGAGGCAGAGGGGAAAGGACGATTCGTCGAGAAAGGAAGAATCGAAGAACGTGACTCACGGTAAAAAAAAAATTGTTTCGTATTCGAGTTGCTTATCATTCGCAGCGTGTCGTTCCCGCGTATTTTTGGCAGAGAGAGAACCAAACGGTTCAAACGCGACGACACTTTTATTTCCCACTGATCGACACAACGTGACTGTTGTTTACTATTAACTCGATCGCACTTTCGAACGATGGATGTGGACACGAGCGGTGTCGATAGGTCAAATTGGCGAAAAATTGACAGATTTTTAAGGAAACGTACAGATTAGAATTATAGATACATGCAACGACGCAGGTTTCGCTGTTGCGCGTGCGCACAAGCTAGGAGCGGATCAAGGCTTTCGAGGTCTGGCACTGGAATGGGAAACAATACAATTCACGTAACTCAAAATATTCAGTGTCTCGTACCGGTATGTTTAAATATTACGCTTTATTCTCGAAAACAATATTTCGAATGATATTTTACAATTATTTGCAATAGGATTGTCGAAGTTAATACAAGCGTCGTGTTTTCTTAACTCCTTAAAATGTACTGTCAATGCCTACGTGTATTTTGGCAGTGTTTATTGCGTGAAATTCTCTTACTGTCTTAATTTATTTGTTGATAAATATTAATTTAACGGAACTCGTACAGCTTATACATCAAATTACAATCGTTCAGTAAACAAGAAAGTAGTAGACAGGACCCAGACCTGACAAAAATTACCTCCTGGAGAGCCTGCCAGACTTCTCTTTCTGATACGTCGTTTCCTGTTTCTCCCGTTGCATCGCCGTGTACTTCTCGACAGCGTGTAAAACTAGAATGGTTGCTGCGTTTATGTTTTCTGGAGAAACGTATGCCCGAGCCAGCTCAGTTATCTGCTCCTTCACCTGCAAAATGGCGATAGATTTAGATATAAAGCTTCTTTGGATATAAAAAGAAAAGGAGCACTATGTAAACTAAATCTGTGTTACCTGATTTTTGGTAAGACCGAATCCGAGAAAATTGATGCTGCAAAATGGCGTAAATGTACAGATCATGGTGGTGACAGCGCCGCCCATGAGAATCACGAAGATAAAATGCAACAGGTGCGCTCCAACGCGTGCTCCGTGCAAAAGAACATCGTTAGAGAACGGAAGCAACGTTGTTGCGATATCGGTGAGCCAATTGGACTCCTCCTTTTGCGGCAATAAAACTGCCGGAACGAGGTAACCCCCGTATCCTGATTTTAGAAGGAATTCTCTGTTACTGTAATCAGGATAAGTGGGATAAAAATATTGGCTGGCCAGTTGCTGATTCCCTTGTGCGTAAGCCTGTTGCTGCTGGTTTCCGGTTTGAGAGATTGGGTACACAGGTTCGTTCGACTCTTCTTTCTGCTTGGTCTGATCAATTTTGATCTCTTGCTCAGGGGGTATCAACGCTGCTGCACTGCACCATCCAATCGCCAATAGAAAAACGATCAAATCACGCAACATTTTTCTTCGATCTTCTTGCCGAGTTTCGTACAAAATATTTTAGCCCGTACCTTCACGTAGCTTCTAAACTCGCAAACTGAGGGGAACATTCTCACCCTTGGCGCTTATATACCCTGCAAGAGGTGGAAATGGAATTACCTGAACTTTTCCTAAATCCCTTTAATACCTCGACGGTTCATCCCCCGCGAAGGATGCAAAAATAAGGTCTACGGCAGGTAGTGGAGGACCTTTTTGCGCTCAAAGGTCGCTTTCAGAATTCCTCGTCAAGCCGTACACTTTGTGTAGAATAAATTTTTGGTGTTTTACAAAAATTTGTAATTTACACTTATAGGTTTATTTACAGGTTGGATTTAGTAATAACAAAACTGGGTCCAACCTGTTCTTATCATGCATAATTGTTCCATGATTTGAGTGTGAATTGTTAGCTATTTGCTTGGAAAATATTATATCTTTAACGATTAAAAATTTATTAAATAACGAACGACGGCCAAAACCTCTTGACTTGAATTGGAAAATTTATTTCAAATGAAAATAAATATTAAAAATTTCTACGTGCAAGTTCACGAATTCCCAAATATTCATCCACGGTCTCCTCAAGGATCGTGCACTGCAGGTGAAGAATCACTACCACATTATACTGAAAAAATAACGAAAAAGATTATTTAATAATAAAAAAAAATTAATTATGAAATCGAAATTTTAATTAGTTCTCAATTGCTCAATTTTTTAAAACCAATTTGTCGAAATATACACTATTCGACAATTTAGGATTTACAAACGTAGAGACTCGAGAAAATGTGCGTAACGCGCCAATCGAGCGCATCAAACGGCTGCAGGTGCGCTACCCCTGATTTAAGTTTCAACTGTATACCTGAAGGGACCGTGAAATATAAGCACTGTATTCTTCGAGTTACAGTACCTAAACCTCATTCTCCTTCGCAAAGAATTTGCAAATGCTTCTCCCAAGAATAACTCACGAATGCTTGGACAGGTAGAAGAAATTTTCTCGCTAAGTTTTCTCGACGACCATTTCTGCTTTGAATAGAATTTTCGTGAAAAGGAACGTTTCTTACAACTTAGGTAGTTTTGTTCCCTTGTCGTGTACCGAGGACAAGGCGTATGAAAATTCATTTGTAACATGCCAAAAATAATTAACTGATTTCTGCGATATTTCATAAACAATGTACTTGAAGATGCCAGTTCATTATCAGTTATTAATATAATCGTATTTCTATTCTAAGCCTGTAGAATATTGCGTACGTATTTTAAAAACCTAAATAAATTTTTCAACGAATTATGCCGGACATGCTTCAATCAGGGAAATCGTACTTCGCTACGCGTAGTCATCGCTATAATCAGTCAATTATTTCTAACATGTTATGAAACAACTATCGTCAATTGCGCAGCAATATAAAAATAAAACAATATAAATTCAACAAAATACAATACGATTCAAAGAATATTTCCAAAGCTATACATTTTTCCTACTTGATTGTGCCAGCAACAACGATTCGTTTTTAAGTTGCTCGCGTAATATTTCGATTTCGTCCTCGCTGCTTGCACTGTACACAATTATAATTTTTCTCTTATTCTTTTTCAATCTTTTTTCCGCGTTGTTCTCAAATTCCTCGCCACGAACGCGTTTCCTTTTTCGATTTTTCAGCTCCAACTCAGCCTTTTCTAATACGGTTAATTCCGCCGCTGAAGAAGATTCCCTTTCGTCCTCGTCCCCTCCCGCCACGCAGAAAGAATCCTAGAAATACCAGATTGAAACTATCAGTAAAACATATAATGCAGGAATGTTCTATTAGTGTATATTACAAGGACGCTAAGAGAAACTGCAAAACTGCCCTCAGATATAAAAATTAGCCAAAACGACAAAAAGTATGAAAAGAACATAATCGACTTCTTGGAACAGATCAATCATCATCATTTACTGTAGCTGTAAATAAATCATGCAATCGAGCAAAATGTGTATACCATAAAGACATATAGAGTGTTCAGCTACCTCTGGGAAAAATTTTAATGGGAGATTCTAGAGGCCAAAATAAGACCAAAATCAAGAATACCAATTTGTTGATGGAGGCTTCGTTAAAAAGTTATTAACGTTTCAAGTTCCACCCGTACTGAATTTTTTTCTCGAAAATGCGCAGGATTTTGGGGGTATGTGTATTCACCAAAAATGATTGTAATTGACCCCCGCAACCGAAAATAATTTTTCCAGAACGATTTGAAATTTTTTTTTCGTCGTAAAATTTCACACCTTCTCGAATTTTTTTCTAGAAAATGGGTAGGATTTCGGGGGTATGTCTATTGACCAAAAATGATTATAATTGACCCCCGCAAAAGTAATTTTTTCAGAACGATTTGAAATTTTTTTTCCCCCTAAAAAATTTCTCCATTCACTGAATTTTTTTCTCGAAAATGCGCAGGATTTTGGGGGTACGTCTATTCACCAAAAATGATTGTAATTGACCCCCGGAACCAAAAATAATTTTTTCAGAATGATTTGAAATTTTTTAATCGAGAAATTGATATTCTTGATTTTCGTCTTATGTTGACCTCTAGAATTTCCCATTAAAAAAAATTGAATGCTCATACAATAATTTCATCACTCACATCGAGATAGGTATCGTTTCCTTGTGTGAGGGGCTGCGAATAAATGTCTATTTCTGGATCCAAAGTAACTGCTGGTTTGAAAACGAAACCGTTGCATTTTTTGACCGGGCTTCTAACGGTTTGTAAATATAACGCGTGCATGTCGGAGGTATCGTGCACGTTCTGCGTGTAGCTGACAAAATTATCCAAATCCTCATCTTGCCCAGAACTTTCGTCCGACGAGTATTCGTCGTTCGACGACACTTTTGCCTCGTCGTCTATGAATACGTTTCTTACTTTCCTCGGCCTGCGAGTACGATTACGATTTTTTACACTACACGGCACCTTAAAGCGTTCCAATTTCGTTCGTAGATCTTCTTTCACGTTGACGCGATCTTCTCGATCGTCGACGAGGCGACTGGTCCCCAATTCGTCGCTCTCCTCTTTTTTACTAACAAACGGATCATTCTCGAATATAATTTCATCTTCGATTAATTGTTTAGAACAGTCGCGTTTCGAATTCCGACATTTTTTCATGTTCGCCAACTTCTTCGCTATACTCGTTCTCGGTGCATTTTTCTTTGCAACGCTGTACGATTTTTCAACCGAGAACCACTCGTCGCTATCCGAAAATCGCTCCTGAACTTCGTTACTGCTTTTTTTAAATTCGTTGCACTTTTTTCTGGACGGATCAAACTTATCGTGATTTTCATCAGGATCGATAACCACTTCGAAATCGTCGTCCCATTCGTAGTCATCGATCTTAATTTCCGCACCGATCGCACTCTTTTTATCGTTTGATTCAGGCGATGCATTCATAACCTTCTTATCGTTGGACACCTTATTTTCGATCAAACATTCAACACTTTGATCAAGATTCGTCGCGTCATCGATCTGCGTAGAAAAGTTTTCGTCTTGAAGAATATCCTCGAACTTAAATTCCGCGCCATTCGTGCTCTTTTTATCGTTAAATTCCACCGACGTATCCGTATGCTCCTTATCGTTGGACACCTTACTTTCGATCAAACATTCAACACTTTGATCAAGATTCGTCGCGTCATCGATCTCCGTAAAAAAGTTTTCGTCTTCGAACATATCGTCTTCAGATTCATCGACCGTGTTTGTAGCATTCAAATTTGATTTTATGCGTCCTATCTCGATAATCGCTTGAGTGATACTAAGTAAACTCTGATCCTTGGTCTTGCAAGTGTTGGACATAATGTCGCTTTTATTTTTCTCCTTGTAGTCTTCGATGGTATCAGGTAGAGCAAAATCAGCCTCCTGCAAACACATACTGTACATCTCTATATTATCGTCTACGTTTGGAGCGTTAGTAAACGTTTCAATATTTGTATCGTTGCGAGAACCGATATTTTCAATTGGTATTTGTTTGGTATTTTCGACACAAGCATCACTCTCAAGCTCATCGGATGTTTCGTTCAAAAGATCCTCGAATCTACTAGAATCCAAATCTTGCGCGACGTTTGTATTTTCCATTGTTTCTTTTGAAACATTGGCGCGCGAATACTGCGAGGAAGTCTTACTATTTTCGATCACCACTTCTTTAATATCATCCGCCGTGTCGCTGTCATTCGATTTGCTAGATTCGTCGAGCAAATACTCAAATTTTGATTTCTCCGCGGCATTCGTGTGATCGTTTTCCTGGAACGTGTCAATTATTACACATCCATCATTATTGATGCATGAATTGTTCCCATCGTTATCATTCGCGCTATGATTGTTGTCGTTCAAATCGATTTTTTCGTTAGAACGTTTTGCTGGAATATCGCTCAACGTGATCAAACAATCAAGGATTTTAACATCGGGTATAGAAAAATTAAAAAAGTTTTTGATCGGAGAACATTGAGGCAAATAAAATTTATTAACGCTACGTTCCTTTACGTTCGCTTCCCTCTCAGAGTTCTTTAAAGCGCACGCCGTGAGAAAATCGATTGCGTTGCTGTCGGATGATAGAATCTGTACGTCGGATGGCTTTATTACTCGATGCACATTATTACTTTGAGTTTTGTCAGGATTCGATATACCGGAAACGGCAAACTCTTGCTTTTCATTTCTAACGAATTTCATGATTGAAAATTGAGTTCCATCCTTCTGTGCTGGCACTTTTGACTCTGTAGTGTAGATACAGTTCATTTAGAGAAGCAATCCAAAAACAATAACCATTAGATCGACAATTATTTTTATTACCTATGCCAGCAACCTTCTTCAATGTATTTTTACGCATATCAGTCTTTTTATTCAATGTCTCCTTTTTCTGCCTGCCCTTCGTAACCGGTGTTTTTGGTTGTACGCTGATATACATTTTCAAACACACCGGAGTAAATTCATTAGGAATCATACGCGAGTTATTTTCATAAAGGGAAGAACAAATTTTACTCTTATTAATCAACGCATTGTTCAGAGAATCTCTTCTAGCTATTGTGGATTTTAACGTCTGTAATTTTAATGGAACTTGTTAATATGTATTAAGAATGTTTTACACAAACTCTATGTATTTTTAAACATTATATTTTCGGTTACCTCGTGCTCTCTTCCATCTGTAACAAGAATAATAATATGTCCGTCACGTCTCCGACCTGTTCTTCCCATTCTTTGTACAAGTCGCGTAGGAGAATGTTGAGATATGTCGAAACATATTATCAAGTCTACTTCTCCGACATCCAATCCTTCCTCTCCTACGTTAATCATCAGACAAATTTTTTTATTTACATCTATTGTTATATCTTCTCATAATATTACAACGTAAGCGTTTCAGAATTATTTGAAGATTTAGCTTCGCTTACCTATACTCGTGGATATAAGAACGTTAACAACATTACTTCTAAAATCGTTTAAAGCTTTTATTTGCTGCTTTTGTTTCTGTCTAGCTTGGCCGACGAACATCTGCGGTCTTATCAACGGTTGGCATTGCAAAAGTAAAACGTAAACCTCGCTTACAATGTCCCTGTACTGTGCAAGAGGTGAATTAAAAGTCGTGTGTAATATTTCTATGCAACGTGCAAACGAGATTGATCATTACGAACCTCGACGAAAACAATGGCTCTTGTTTCGTTCTCTTTATCTTGATGGTTTTTAAAGTGACGTAAAAGTAGTTCTTTCAATTTTTCAAATTTCGTGTGCCCGAATACAAGATCTTGCGGAATCTAAAAATAATTTTCAAGATACGCAAAACAGCATTATTTAACGCCACGCATGTAGATCAATTTTTCGTCTTATAATAATTTATACAAACATCCGCTTTAAACTGATCGCCTAAAGACTTTATGTCTGGAAACGGACCGAGATACATTTGGATATCTTCCAGTAATTCTAACAGTTGTGTTTCGTCATTGATCCAAAACTTATCAGAATGAGCTGTCAATAACAACAAATTTATAAAAATCATTTTATCGCTATATGCGTAACGTAAGTGGAAAACCATGCATCTACGAACTTTGATAGAATTTATGAAACGCTCGAAGACCATCTCTAACCATAAGCTCGTAAGCGTGATACATCGTTATTAAAATGTTCAACGTTTTCATGACAGTGCCAGCATTTCCTGATGTATTTTTTTTTTTTTGGAAGTCTTTTAGTAAATGAAATATCTGACGGGCAGAAAAACTCATCTTAATTGTTTCAGTTGCGTAATTGCAAATAAAACAAATATATACAACTCATAATATTATTTACCCTTCCTTTCGATATATTTGCCGTTTGTCCGCGAAGAACGTTATTCTGAATTAGTACTTTAACATGACGATCCATAATGTAGATATATCTCTCTTTGTATTCGGCTAGTTCTTTGTTAAGTGGTACCAAAATTATATCGACTTTTCTTTGATTGATGTATGGTACAATATCAGGGGAAGTTTCATCTCTTAACTCCATATGAGCAATGTGTAAATTTTGCAAAACCTATAGAAAATATTACTTGTAGCAAAAAACGAGTATACTCGTCCTTGGCAGTGAATGGGTTAAAATATGTTACATGCATTTTTGAAAATGGAAATTAATGAAAAGTTTTACGTATGTATGTTAATTATTTATTTATAATTATTTGCTAATTCGTACTGGTATTTCGTATTAATAAATCATACCTCATGAACATTATCAATTTTATTTCCTGGTGTAGCAGAAAGGCCTAGTACTCTGAAATATTGATTCTTTTCACTTAATATTCGAATGCACTATGAACATAAAACATACAACTGTTTAGTCTGCAAATTTATTTATGAAAATTATATGTAAAAGTATTAGTTTCTTCTACAACGTTTTCTATGACTTTATCAATGAAATAGCATAGGTACCTCACAATAGGAATGCTTTCCTAAAGCTTTATGAGCTTCATCTACTACTACACACTTTACTAAATCAGCAGGTATGATGTTTTTCTCAAGATCATTGTGAAAAACTTGAGGAGTAGCAAACACTACCCTCTTTTTCGACCAAGCTACTTCACGTTGCTTTTGATGGATAGCTCCTGCAGCACAAAATCTTAATGGTAGAGAAAATAAAAGAAATGATTTTAAAATGTTCGTATTATTTACTTACCTGTAAGTTCTATAGTTTCTGCACTAGGTATACCCATTATATTGTGACAAGCAAAAATCTGTTGAGCAACTAAAGGTTTAGTGGGTGCCAAAAACACAACTTTCCCGCACGGATACCATCTCCAAAAATTATACATTACAACTGCGGCAATGAATGTCTTTCCCAATCCTATATACAAATCGAATCTATTACTAATTTTAGCAATTAATTTTGTATGTAATAATGAAAATATAGTCTAGTAGTCTCTTACCAGTGGGTAAACAAACTAAGGTGTTCATGTACAAAGAAGCTTGAACTATACTGAACTGATAATCCCTGATGGGATAATTTTCTGGATAAATCCATGTTTTCCCAGCAGATAAATCGAATCCTTTTGTTTCTGGATCGGTAGAAATTTGAGGATTCTGTGATATTTCCATTTGATCAGTTGTTCTTCAAATTGATCGCGAGTTATAGGACACTCGGGTATTATACAAATTTAATACGTTCGAATACATTTTAATAAAAAATAGAATTTAATTTAAACTGTTTTCATTTAAAAGCAGACGTTTATCTTGTCAGCCGATTTATATGTAAACAGACGGATGGGTATTCACAATTTTAGCTTACTTCGATATTTACATATATACAATTTTATATTTACAAGAATCTTTTATAAGTATCACACGCTGGATAATGTCAAGATAACACTACATAAAAGTTTTATTAGAAAATGTACAAATATTTAAAGCACGTATACTGCGTATAAATTCTATTCGAATTTAAATTATCAGAACCTCTCACACAAGTTGATCTGTTGACGTTCGATGGATACTAACTTCCCCGCTAGGGAATCGGCCATTTTTATATCACCAAAGTATTTTCCTAGTTCATGCGTAAACGCGGAAATTTCCAAACTAATTACACAAGTCCCGTTAAAAATTACGTCCGCGTTATCGCGATAATTAAAATGTTTATATCTAGAATCACATAATGCGTAATATTATTATGATAAACCGTACAAACCGAAATTAATTTATAGAAAAAGACGTTATTCGTTATAAAGGTGTTGGAAAAAATCGTCTTTGACTAATTAGAAATTAATTTATTGTACGTAAAGATATACAAGAAAGAATGCGACTGTTTGAATCAGTGAGCATATAAAACAGATGCATGTACTCGTAACCGCCTTTACGCAGCTACAAATATAACAGTGGCCACCAACCTTGGAAAATATAAAAGCTACTATATAAATCCCATAATTTAAATATATACAAATCTTATAATTAATATACACATGTACTAATTATAAGATTTCAACGATTAACTTACGTAGAATTATGAAATTTATATAGTAGCTCTTTGTTTCCTTTCATATATCTATATGTATATCAGAAATACACATATGCATAAATATGTAAATGACAAATAACAAAAGGTTTAACATGACAAAAAAGGAGGGAATTCTTTTTTAAACAAAAAGGTGACTTTTTTACAATATTTAAAAACGTATATAAACTAACGCAAGCGACCAAATTTGTTGTCGCGAATTACGAGTTGGCGACCACTTATATAAATGTATACAGGTGCTTGATAAAAAGAAACTAAAAGCTGAAAAACAATGGACTAGATCCCTCAAATTAAGACGTATGATTTGTTGATAAATGACTATTTAACGCAGCTTTGTGGGCAAATTTTTTTAAACAGATCAGGCATTCGTGAGTTTTTTCGTTTATGTGCATTGACAAATGCTTTTTCAATGTTGCTTTGTCCTTAAATATTTTCTGACACGCACTACACTCGTATGGTCTCTCCCCTGCGTGTACCAATATGTGGCTGTTTAATGTCGTTTTTTGGGTAAATGCTTTGTGACACACGTAACATTCGTATGGTCTGTCGCCGGTGTGACTCAACATATGTTTCCGTAACGAAGACTTCTCTTTAAATGTTTTCTGACAAATGTGACACGCGTGTCTTTTGTCGCCGGTGTGTATAAGCATATGAGAATTCAGTCTAGTCTTTTCTCTAAAGGCCATGTCGCACAGCTCGCAAGCAAATGGTTTCTCGCCCGTGTGTATCAACGTGTGCCGATTTAAATCCGACTTACGAGTAAATATTTTATCGCAAACTTTACAATCGTATTGGCCGCCGGTGTGTAGTAACATGTGGCTATTAAGATCGGATTTCCGCGCACACGCCTTGTGACATATGTGACACTCGTGTGGTTTCTCACCTGTATGCACAAGCATGTGAGAATTTAATTTTGCTTTCTCTCGAAATGTCATTAGGCATTCTTTGCACTCGTACGGTCTTTCGCCGGTATGGACCATCGTATGCCTTATTAATTCCGACTTTCGTTTGTACGTTTTCTCACAGATATTGCATGCATGGGGCTTTTCGCCGCTGTGAGCCAGCATGTGATTGTTCAGCGCCGTTTTTTGCGCAAACGATCTATGACACATTGTACATTTAAACTGTTTATTCCCGCCATGCAGCGTCATATGCATATTCAGTTTTGCCTTTTCCCTAAACGTTGCAAAGCATATGTCGCATTTATACGGCCTCTCTTCTGTGTGAGTAAGCACATGCCGATTCAGACTAGATTTTTCTTTAAACGTCGCGTGGCAAACATCGCACTCAATTATTCTATCTTCACCGCTCATCGACTGGTCGTTTTCGGAATCCAGCCGCTTCATAAACGTTTGTTGTAACGCGTCGTTATCGTATGGTTTCTCCAGTACGTGCATTTGCATATGATTACGCAAACACCACTTGTAAGCGAATCGTTTTTGGCAGACATTGCATTCCAAAGGGCTCATACCAACGTGTGTTAACATGTGAGCATGTAAACTGGAACTGTCCTGAAAATTTTGCTGGCACACCTCGCATTGACTACCACTGCAGTGCATTCTCAAATGAGTAACCATCGAATCATTGTTTAAAAACCATTTCTTGCAAATTGAACATTGTATTTTATAAAACTTGGGCTGCTGCCCGTTTGAACAAAAATTAGAATGTTTTTCGGTATCTTGCACTTGGGCAAAATTTGCGTTCGTCAGGCATCTTTGCATAGCTCCATCTTCTTTGTCGCATAAATTCGTGTTAGCAAGTTGGGTTGTCCAGTTCTGATGAGTGCTAGATTCACCATCTAATTCTAATTTTACCTACAATCAATGCATTGTATATTAGATCGATCTATGTTTATAGAAAAATAGGAATAACTTGGCCATGGATGATTTTGAAATTTACCATTTCATTAGAAAAGTCAACTTCGTTATTTTCGATAGGTAAAAATACCTTCTCGAATGTCCCGGAACAGATGTCCTCCATGTAGTCTGGATCAAATCTGTCACCAGGTTCTTCTTTAAGTACAACGCTTACAATGTTTTCGTCCTTAAAGTAAGGTTTAAGTTAGAGTCCTTGCGAAAGCATTGTATTGTATGGTGCTGCTGTTTCATAGAAAACGTTTACCATAACCTGACAGTCTATGTTTAATGCATCCATTGGTTCATGTTGCATTCTAAAATCTTCCATTTACTACGCTTTGCTCTGAAAGTGAAATTGATTTGTTTGCTCGATCGTATATTGTTCGATCAAAATACTCGCTGATTATACGATAATAGGCACGAATCATATTGCAGGAGATCGGATGCAGTCGATATTTTATAGAGTGAAATAACCTTAAATATAAAGATGCGAATTTAAAAAAAAACAGAGGAATTTTTACGCGTGGACTAGTTTGATTCCAAAATGATTCGTGCGATAATCTGTTTATTCGTTTCCGCGAATAATTAGTCGTAAACGATACTCTGTTCGTATCAATACTTACAGCGTAGATTACACATTTCATCCGTGAAACAGAACACGCAAACCAAAATCTGTTAATTCGGTTCGTCGATTTTCGTTTTAACATAAACGACTTTTTTTACGCCAGGGCCAAACGGATAACTTGTTTTTTTTCTTGGGGAAATCAAATCCGTCCAATTGATCGATTTACTTCTGTATCACGAAACTATACTGCGCGTTCCACTACACACGACAGGCATACGTTACATAAATACCATGCATCTACTACGCGATTATACGTATAAGGTGCATACATAAACTCGATGCTTGACCATACCACTATGTAATAATACGTTATACACGGAATCTCGAGTTGAATGATCGCGCTCGATAACGATGTTTGGCTGCGTATTTCTTCGATATCCGTCATGTATTCCTATACGAATTTTTGAAAAGAAACAAACATTAAGTCCGTTTCTGTAAGTATCGAGTTTGGTATCAAACATTCGGCTAATAGTCGATTATTTTCAATTGTCATCAGCTAATATTTCGAACAAAATTATATATTTAAACCAAAGATTATATTTTACTCTCGATACAGTGCCAACATTTGATACTTCTACGAAAGTAAATGAAATTCTTTCGAAAAAGAACTTTTCACGTTCGGATCGAAAATATTTTGCAATTTAACCACGTGAATATTGTGCGTGTTTATTCCAGCATGATTATAGCGCGTATTACACCGTATTCGGCGAATATTTTATATTGTACATTAAGAATTGGTAAAACTTTGTTATTCGTTGAAAGAACATTTGATAAACACTACTTTAAAAGTTCACCCGATAAGTATTCCAATCGTGAGAAGCGTAAAGAAACGTGCGAAACTCGTACTACGTTCTATCGAAAATAAACGAATAACGCGGTCGTAAAGCGCTGCAGCGTAGTTTCAGAAAAACGGATGTACATATTCCTTCGTATATTACTGAGCTTTATTATTATTTGAAAAAATTATACCCTTTGAAAGACGGGGCCCGGGGTTTGTAGCCTCCCCCTTAATCCATTTGTAAGTTACAGAATAGTAGCCGCGTGAAAAATTTGAACAGAATTACGGCGTAAAAAGAACGGAGAGCGTTTTAATCTCATCTTGCAACGTAGCCTGCAATTAAATTTTTTTTTTCAATTACTCTTTTGAAATACAAATAACAAAGTTTATCGTTTTTCGCAATGTACAATCGATCAAACAGAATTCACAGACTTTCTCCCCATTACAAGCGTCTTAATGTAATTTTTGTAAAGGAAATATGCTTATGTATAACTTGTTTCCATTTTTGTTACATTCAAAATATCATATCGATGTAATCTATGCGGAAAGAAAACGCAGACAATTTTTGGCCCGATTTTGTCGAAATTGCGGGTCTGGCAAGGAGCATTAATTTATTCGAATTTAATGATGATTGGAAATTATTCTTTTGTTACGAATACATGTATGCATATCATCGCAACCGTGTTATACGCATACAACAAAGGTAGATTTCTAACTGACAGACGCTGACAGTAGCGTCATGAGAAATGTAACGGTTAATGTATTTATAGTAAATTTACTATTCGTAGTAGTTGGTTATAATCAATTTACGAATCCGTAATTCCATTTCGTTTCACGAGCCTGCCATACAATTTCCAAGTTTCTGATTATCGTGGCTGTTCAATGAAAACAATCATTCGGACGTAACTGTACAGGCTGTTTACCAATTGTAAATCGGTACATCTCTTTTTCAATCGCCATCGACAATCGCTTTCTCTCGACACCGTTTTCCGTGCGTTACGTTCTTTGTAGTAATCTTATTGCAGGTGCTACCTCACGCACATTTAAGTAAATTGTCATGAGCCAAATGCCAGGAAAGATTCGTAAGCCCTCCGCGCGGAGCGCCGGTGTGTGAACGACCTGTCGGAAGGCTAAATGCCGTATTTACCTATTTTAACTATTAAACTTTCATATGTTTCGCCACTGCCTCGAATCTGCCGTTTATTCGAAGCGGTGTAAAGTTAACGGAAAACATTAAGCACTGGAAGATCTAACCATCAGTTGTAAGAAACCACTTTAAGGCGGTCGCATCACGTACTGGTAGGCGTTGCTGTCATTTGGCTTCCCTTCGTCTCTATTATTTTCTCTCAATTTCAAGCGACAATGCACTTCCCAGCTTTCTCTTGATACATATTAATCGTCAATAATTTTACTATGGCACGCGTTCGATAAATTTTAAATTTGCTCTCCGATAACTACGTATTAGCGAATTAGGACTGACACATTCGATCGTAATTCTTTTTTGTAATTGCCTTTCTTGTTTACAAAAAACGATTAAATTCTGCTCAAATAACTAATTTTAATAACTATGTGTTATTCTCAACAGGAAGGGCGATGTTCGCCAAGAAGAAAAAGAAACCACAAATATCGACTCCAACAAATTTTGAACACCGTGTACATACAGGATTTGATAAGAGAGAAGGAAAATTTATCGGACTACCGCTTCAATGGGCCTCTATAGTTGGAAACAATCAAATTTTAAAGTCAACGAACAGACCATTACCTCTGGTAGATCCAAGCGAAATCACACCCACAGAGATTCTTGATTTAAAAACTATAGTTCGTGGTCATAATGATCCTAAAGGAAAGGCACCAACCAGTGAGAAAAGTACAGAAAATGGACTACCTAAGACTAGCACTGTTGCTAGATCTAATTCTCTTCGTTCTTCGAGCCCACCTAGACTCAGGCGAGACTACAGGTAATAATTTCCTATCTATGAAATTAATACTCCTGAACATACTATTCTATTCTCATTTGTATTTTCATAGGCATAACAGTAATCTACCACCGTCCGTACCAGAAGGTCAAGAAATACCGTCCAATGCTAATCAAATACAAGGTTACACGAACTTTGGCAAACAGCATAATTATCTAGACAAATTACGACAAAATTCACCTAACATCGTGACTGTATTAAACCCCAATGTGCAAAATATGATTCCAAATCTCCAAAATCTGAATCCAAACATGCAATCATCTCCAAATTTAACGCATACCGGATCAAATGCTCCGAATTTGTCTCTAAATTTCCAAAATTTGAGTCCCATTACGAATCAACAAGGTCCTATGCCAAGTCCAAGTACACCTCAACTTGTAGATACTGAATTCCATAGATTAAATTCTCAAATGACAATGATGTCTGGCCAATACAATGGAAACGTTCAGGTAAGCGATGTTTGGCTATAGCGCTTTGCACATTACTGGCAAAATGCTTCAAAAATAATAAACACTGGTTTTTGTACATAGGTTCCGAATACCGAGTCGACCACGAGGGACCAGCAAGTTACTCAAAACGTCCTGTTGCATAAGTTGCAACCGAAAATTTCGCCGGTGGGATCTATAGCTTCGCAACGACCATTGAGTCAATTGAGTTCGCATAATGTCAATAAGTATTCCCAGGCATACAACATGCAAGAAAATTCGTCCATTTTACAATCTCACATGAAGAAACCTATTGAAACGTCCCAATCGATGCATAACTTATCGAAGCCGGCCGTACCGTCCTCCGGAAGCAGTTCAACGCCGGATCAAAATCAGAATATGAAAAGCGCCTTGTCATCGGGAAATCTGGCGGTCGGGTCAAGTTCGAGCACTTCCAGTAAACAAACAGCGGAACAAAGGCTCACTCACGAACAGTTCCGAGCGGCTTTACAGATGGTGGTAAGAAACGAAAATTTCGAGTTAACGTTGTATAGAAAATACGGGCAATATTCCAAACGTATTATTCGTGTTTTGAAACGTTAGGTAAGTCGAGGCGACCCGAGGGAAAATTTGGAGAACTTTCTAAAAATCGGCGAAGGTAGTACAGGAACGGTATGCATAGCCACCGAGAAGAATACGAATCGACAAGTGGCGGTTAAGAAAATGGATTTGAGGAAACAGCAGAGACGAGAACTGCTTTTTAACGAGGTAGTAATCATGAGAGATTACCATCACCCGAACATTGTCGAGATGTACGACAGCTTCTTAGTGGACGACGAACTATGGGTTGTGATGGAATACCTTGAAGGTGGAGCGCTCACAGATATTGTCACGCACTCGCGCATGGACGAGAGTCAGATAGCTACAGTGTGCTCTCAATGTCTGAAACCGCTTGCGTATTTGCACTCTCAAGGTGTCATTCATAGGGACATCAAGTCTGATTCTATATTGCTTACGGCTGACGGCAGAGTAAAGTTGTCCGATTTTGGATTTTGCGCCCAAGTGTCCCAAGAGCTGCCAAGGCGAAAATCTCTCGTAGGAACGCCTTACTGGATGAGTCCCGAAGTTATTTCTAGGTACAACATAATTTGTGATCGTTTTATAATTTCTTTTGTTTCTCGTTCGCGAGTTAGTACGTGCGCTTCTCGCGTTTTAGGTTACCGTATGGACCGGAGGTAGACATTTGGTCGCTAGGTATAATGATTATCGAGATGGTCGACGGGGAACCACCATTTTTTAACGAACCTCCTTTGCAAGCTATGCGACGTATCAGAGATATGCCGCCACCAAAATTAAAGAATTCTCATAAAGTAAGCTACGAATATTTTGAAATCTTGCGAGAAATTAAATGTACAAAACGACAATTAATCACATTTGTACTTGTTCGTAGGTCAGTCCACGTCTTCAAGACTTTCTCGAAAGGATGCTTGTTCGCGATCCGGCGCAGAGAGCTACAGCGACTGAATTGTTACAACACCCGTTTCTTAGGCAGGCTCAGAGTCCAAGTATTTTGATCCCTCTGATGAGAGGTTCCCGGCATACGAACTGTTGACATGTCGATGTAAAAAATGTACGAGCGCGGTAAAGGATCGATTAACACGGACGTCGGTTGCAAAAGTAACCGTGTCTACGGTCGTTTTTTGGTTTGTTGTTGAAACGTTAAGCTGTAGAATACGCAAGTGTCTAGAAACATTTGAGCGGCCTTTGTTAAACATTACATTCCAGTGTGCCCTTAACTTAGAATCGTTACATTATTATGAATTTATAAATGTCTGTGTTGCCCGTGATAGGCATTAGCGTCATAAAAGATATTTTTTATATCGAGTTATTTAACAAAATATTGTACACCCAAGTGCCTTCGTAATGAGCACCGTTTCACCTTCGTTATTGTTTACGTGTTTATATTTGTTTTACCTCGTTGTCGGTTCTACTATTCCTTATTCGTCGAATCTGTCTACAGGACACAGCAATTCGAAAAAAACAATTTCGTTGTTCTGTAGTTTAAACGATGGCGGGATTGATCGATTTAATAAAAGTATTTTTGTAAACGCTGCTATTACGCGTGTACTTAAGGTAAACAATCGAATAGTCATATTTAATTCGAAAGCGTATAACCCGAATTTAAGCGCTAAAACAAAGAAAAAAAAAAAAGAAAAGATGCGACTGGTGTTGATATACAGTGCCTAAATTGACGTTGTATGACCCGCCTCCTTGTTTTAAAAAATTAGTACTTACGTTTAATTTATTCGACGTTGACTGTTACAAACAGAAATTATTACAAGCATACGGAGAGTTCGTTTAAAATATCTAGAGACTGACGAATTTAACGTACTGACTTTATTGTATTAAAATGGTCGAAATTGCTGTAAGATCGAATCTCAAATCCAGGGTGTTCATTTCAGTATTCTTAATATCATTATCGAACAAAGAAGTATCGTAAGTTTAAAGATGCGCTAGAGATAGAGTGCCGTTAAGAAGATATATTCGAGTGAAAGAGTTTCACGTTAATTTAGTGAAAAAGTTTCAAATAATATGTCGTTTACTGCGAAGATGTTTTAAGACGGATCGTAATAGTACCGAATGCCATTAATTTTGATCGGATAAAGGATCAATACAACACGAACAAAGGCCATCGATCGGACAGACGATTTACAGTCTCGGTTATTTAAAGTATACATAACAATAGAATATTTACGATGTGTAGATATTGCCGAAATATCGTTGCATAGATAAAAGCTATGTACGCAAGAGTAAATGATGCAGGACAACGTAACTCGTGTAGGTACATACATCTGCCATTTGTAAACAGATACCTTTTAAGGACGTTAGTAAATTGTACGAAAGGGCGTGCAAAAGAAACTGCTGTATTTTTCATTCATATGCAAAGTAATAACAAAAATCGTTTTCGACCAGAGAATGGAAAAGAAATTTACTTTAAAAGATTCGTGTTTATTCTGTAAATAATTCATTTGTAAAAATACATGTTAAACGTAATACAAAGCAAACGAAGTTTTCATTTGATTCTAGAGGCCAAAATAAGACGAAAGTCAAGAATACCAATTTTTTGATGGAGGCTTCGTGAAAAAGTTATTAACAATTAAATTCAAAAATTTCAAATCGTTCTGGAAAAATTATTTTCGGTTGCGGGGGGTCAATTACAATCATTTTTGGTCATCACACGTACCCTCGAAATCTTGCGCATTTTCGAGAAAAAAAATCGGGTAGATGCTTAAATTTTTCGACGAAAAAAAAAATTTCAAATCGTTTTGGAAAAATTATTTTCGGTTGCGGGGGTCAATTACAATCATTTTTGGTCATCACACATACCCCCGAAATCTTGCGCATTTTTGAGAAAATAATTCAGTATTGGCGGAACTTTAAATGTTAATAACTTTTTAACGAAGCCTCTTAATTATGATTCAAGATAATTAGTGTTTCCGTTAGTCAGCATCCAGGTAATTAATGCTTAATTATAGTACCAATTGCATGTAAATTACGTTCGAGTATCAATACTGTTAACTATTATGTTTGATTCTAGTTGAAGATGTTTTCCTAAAATAATCGCAAGCAGCGCGATCAATTAACGTTGGTAATGACTATTTTCTGATTCAATCATCTCAATTCTTTGTAAAAATCTAAGCAATTATTTCTGAATGAAACTGAGTTGCATCAAATTGTGTAATATAGGAGGAAAGAATTAATTAAATTGCATCGATTCGAGAATATCATATATTTTTTTTAATCCGATAAACCTTGACGCAATTGATACACTTCAAACATTTCGATTAAAAACCATAAACTTTCTTTCCATTGCGTCTGACATTGGAACTGGAATTGGTATGCGCGGCAAAGTAGTTACACAAAAAAGGATAGAATAAGTAGCATAACGATCGAAGTATGGATTGTTCAAAACAAAAAAAATTAAAGTAACATTCATTAGTTTGCCCCTTGGTAGAAGATATTTGATCTTGTATTTCTATTACCTTTCTTTTTATCTTGCATTCCGTACGTGATATTTTGGTTAATCGATAGTATTGTTTTCGAGGTTAAGATCGTGATTTTAATCGATAATTCAACAGAAATGTTCGAATGTGAAGGACAATATATGTGCCTTTGTACATACACTTTTACATCGAAGCACGTAACGTTAATGCACGCCTCGATAATTCTACGTTACACAAGATGACGCAAGAAATATTGCCATCGACGAATGGTAAGAATTCAAAAGAAGAAACATAAAACCGGTACCGACTCGTACACGTACAATCAGGTTGATATGTCTTGCCTTCTAATCACGAGTGGCGCTAGTACTATGCAATTCCGCACATATGTGTATAGTTACATCACTCGGCTAGAAAGGTACTTTAAAATGCTATTATCCGATTGGTGGAACGTGACGAGCCTCCGGTTGACCGGAAATGTCCTTCGCATTATGCTCGATCATTGGCGCCACTGACGTTTCTCGGTCAATTTAATCGACATTTTCTCATTAATCACTTTGCAGAGACGAGAAACAACGTCGTATGATTTACGTCTTCAGAGTTCATCTTTTCTCGAAAGAATAATATATTCCTCGACCAAATTAATGCAATTCAATGTTTCACGATACGATGATTCCATCTTTCTTCAAAAAAGAAAGCCAGATCAAGTCGACGGAACAAGGATGTTCTCAATATTTGTTTAAATTAGCTATCTAAAGACATTATTTAAATATTTGCAAGCCTTAGGGTTCATTTTTTTTAACTGAAAATAATGAGAATTACGTATGCTAAGTGTGGTTGAATGTAAGTATACAAAAAAAAAGTGGCCTGACAGCATGCAATATTCCAACCGTTCTGTTAATCTATAACAAAAAAAGCGGAATAGCATCTTGATTATTTTAAACGACTATCTCGTGAACCACGATAAATAAAGAATCTGGACAACTAAAAAAATGTCGGTGCATCGATTTTCTCGATCCTTTTTGGTTCATAGCTTGCTAAACAAATATAACCTCAAAATTGCTTAAAATACAGGCTTCTAACGGACGTGTTTTCGAAGACATACACTTTAAGAAAGATCGATTTTTTTCAAACCTCTAGATCAGAATACCCCCTTAAAGAAAGTGTGCTCGCAAAGAGTCGGAAGTTGTTTCGACGGGAATTGGATCGAATGCACGGATCCGAAGGCGAGAGGAAAAAAACCAACCGGTCTCGTGTCTGGCGGGCGTTAGTGTGAATGCGTGTGTACGTATCGCGTAGCTACATGCCGGCATTGCAGCGTTCCTGCTTGTCTGCACGTATTCATTCCGAGAGATACGTCTGCGGGGCACCGTAAATTCTTGCAGTCGTGAAATCCAACGAACTCGTGCGTCACATCGTAGGGAGAAATCGTGAGGCAAGAGTCGGAACATTCTGCGTAAGAAAGGGAGTAATTACACGCATCGATACGTTTAACAGGTCACAGCACTCGTAACTATTCGCGCAAGAATGTGTGGTCGGCGTATTATAGGACAAGAAAATAAAACACGAATCGTCGTGCTTAAATCCTCTTTGATTACAGTACGAGCAGAACCAATGAAAAGACGTCAAACATGGAGGCTGGACTCCAATTGACCTCGACCCGTGGCGTGTCCACCTTTCAAGAGAAGCGTGACGAACAAATTTGCGGCCCGTTGCGTCATTCCGGATCGATACCTAACTGTTATTTTCGTTCTTAGATTTATGCATACGCGTAGGCATCGGCACGATTTATTCGGACAACATAGAAACATGATTCTATCGATAATTACAGAAACGAATCGATGAAATGCATTAACTTTTAAGACAGTTTTATTTAAACATCCGGTTAAATATTCTTATCGTTGTAGCGGCGATTCTTATCGTTTCCTAACCTCACTTGCAACGGAGAAGCGATCGTCGAAACATTTTTAACCAAGCATGCAGATTATCGTCGCGTAAAAAATTTGTTTGGAAATAAACGCGGACTAAAATTCTTCGCAATCGACGAAACATATTTCCCTGAAATGCACATATAGTTCGTCCTTGAATAATAAACATGGTAATTTTCAATGGTAAATGCTTCCGACTGCAATTTGCGCGCGCTTTAGAAAACAAAATTAACGGCTTAATTGTAATATTGCCGCGATCGCTCGAATAACGCCGATGCATAATCGATTGATAGATTGAAAACACGTTGACATTAACAACGATAAAAAATAATGTTGATACAGCGTGACTGCCAAGCCTATCGTAGATGAACGTTAAAATACATACGCTTAAAAGCAGCCGCGGCAAAGTCCGAAAAGGAGGAAGAAGGAAGACTGTAGGCGCGAGGGGGCGCGAGGGGAGAGGAGCGCAGATAGAATGGTCGAGGGTAGGGCGAGGAATGTTACATGGGGGCCCGAAAAGGGAGGGGGTAGAAGCAACTGGCGAGGTCGTAAATACACAAGGCGCTGTTTGCCCTTCTACGATCCGATTGGTCGAGCCCCCGGTCGAGCCTCCGCGTCCGTGACGACACGTAACGCCAGGCAACGAGGAAAGCAGACAGGCAGGGGGAAGAAAAGCAAAAAGACGAAACGAGACTGACGAGACCGGGAATGGTGGGCACGGCGGGATGAGAGAGGAGAAGAAAGGAGCGACCTTCGGGCGTTCGGATAGCGATTACGTTCGCCCGTCGCGTGTCGCGTCTCGGCGCAACGTAGATCGTTCCGAAATCGAACCGAATCGTGGACAAACGTTGCTACGCCATCGACTCGATACGGTTCCCCGTGCGTATTCGTATCCTCTCGTATTCTTTCGCGAACAGTCCACGCACGTGATGCAACGGTCTCGAAGCATTCGAAACGCGAGCCAAGAGCAACCGTTGCCGCGCCGCACGGTCGAATACCGTTTCGGTTAAGGGTACTCGAGCGCGATGCATGGACATTGAACTTTTCCCCCGCCAGTTATTTACCGGCAACTAGATTTTTATCAATTACGTAAGCCATTCCGTGGCAATAATTCCGATATCGATCGGACCGTCGCTCGATCACGCGATGACGCGAAACTGCAGTGGTCTCGCGCTCGAAGAAGTATCCATTGCTCTTGCTCGCTTATACGCCTCTGTAAAATCCGCTAGATGCAAGTAAAAGGCGTTTACGTAATCAATGTAGAAATATTCCTTATTCTTACAAAATATGATCAGGAAATCGAAGGATTTGCGGAACAACAATGGAGGAAATAGCATATGTATGCTATTTTTAATCTTTTAGTAGTGCATATATGTTAGACTATGATCTCAGAACCATCTTCGACTGCTTTTTGTCGCTGGATATATATTACTTGTCTCCGTTGTTTATTTCAATATATATGCATTTCCATAAATTCTCCTCTTTGTGTTGTGCTATTAATGGAGGGCGAAGCTTCAACTTTTTATGTTTTATATATAGAATACTTTGTTTTGTATGTAATAATAGAATTCTACCAGTTTTACTTTTATCTAGATCTAATTTATTCAAGCTATATAGTTTAACGATTCTTAAGAATGTACTGCGCACTTCTGCTTTTATTTATAGCTTAGAAACACCTGTTATGAAATTTAAAGAACATAAACGTCTCAAGTGGGCTATCATTTTGTCCCACTTGTTTTACCTTCGGTTTAAATATCTTTCTACAACTTTCTTAAAGTGTATTCCACGAAAGCGATCTCCAGTGAGTTTATATAAAATGGAGCAATATATAGGGTGTTCAGCCATCTCTAGACAAAATTTTAATGGGAGATTCTAGAGGCTAAAATTTTGTTATAGAAACATTTCCGGCCACACAGTATATTTTCGGTAAAGAATTTTGTTCTCGAAAGTACGCAGCAATTGGTGGTTAGGTCTATTTACAAAAAATGATTGTAATCGACCACTGGAGCTAAAAATAATTTTTCCAGATCGATTTGAAATTTTTTAATTTTGTCGACTTTGTCCACCTAATCGAGTTTTTTTCTCGAAATTGGGTAGGATTTCGGGGGTGTGTCTATTCACCAAAAATGATTGCAATTTACCCCCGCAACCGAAAATAATTTTTCCGTGAATGATTTGAAATTTTTTAATTTAATTTTTTAATTAAAATTTTCGTTAATAAAATTCCAAAAACGAAATTTTAAAATGATACAACATGTGAACCTGATCGAACATACCTTAGAACAAAATGTTAGGATCCTTTATATTATATATTTGTTCATTTAGTAAAACTGAAAGTAGTATGTTACCTAATCGGGAGCGTACACTAAACGCGAACTACAAAAAAGCTTAAATTGCTCGGGCAAAATGATAGGATACTTGAAATGTTTTTGCTCGTTTCAATACGAATTAAAGTATATAATTGCATGAGCATTCAACTGCTCCAATAATGGACGGTTTTTAGAAAAAATGCAACTTTATCATTATTACCGCTGTTATTTTTAATAGAGTTTGCTATCTATGAATTCATGGCTGGCGAAAAGTACACGGTAGAAAGAAATGGTTATCTATTTTCGCATTCATGCAGTGAAAAGAAAATTGAAAGAATTATATAAAACAATTCTAAAATCATTAATGGACGCCCTGCAACGGAAAGTAGGTCTCTCTAAATATTACTATAATTATTTTGCAAAACTTTTCTTATGTATCGTCCTATCATTTTGTGATATATTGCAATAAATTGTTTTCTTTCAAAGAATTATGTTTATCATTTTGTACCAAACTGTGAAGCTGCCATTGTTAATAAAATCTGGTAGGTTAACTACTACCGGTGTTCCGTAACTTTGTTCTGGAATATAGGTCGGAATAAAAAACGATAAGTTTTCGACTAAATTTTCCTTTTAATGATAATGTCGAAATTTTTGCAATTCGTTCGCGCCGGTAAGTTTCACGCGAAGCCGTCGCGCAAGAAATCGGTAGCCGAGCAGTCGTTGCCGGCGATCGATCGCGATAAATGAAACGATTGTTCGACCGCGACGAAAATTCCAAGAATTTCGAGCGCCTGGAAGCAAAGACGAGGTCGAGGATAAGAAAGAATCGTTTGAGGAGAATTGGCGCAGAGGACGGGGAAAGCTGTTTAGCGTTTCGCCTCCATGGTTCGGTTATTTTCCCATTCGTTGAATGGACCACTCTTGTTGACACAGTGGGCAACGATTGTTCTGCTTCACCCAAAGGGACATGCAACAGTAGTGAAACGAGTGGTTGCACTCTCCCCAGACGACCACGCAGTCTTGCTGTCGGCCATAGAAGTCGTTCTTGCTCTCAGCTTGGCACCGAAGACAAGCGTCTGAAAATTCAAAAGCAATCAGACGACGAACGATAAAGCCGTACTTTGCTTATCGTTAACTAAAAACTCGTTAAAATTTATATAAACCCTATTTTCTGTGGATCCAACAATTCCAATTGTAATTTTAGTCGGTGACGATTAACGATTGCAAGGTGTATGCAATTGCAGTTAGAGTAACTGATTACATAATCGAATACGATACCTAGTTGGTCATAGGAAGTTCCCCTAGCGAGTAATGGGGACAGATAGAGAGATAATTCGAGATAAACGGTTGCTCGTGCGTCGATGGTTGTTCGCTGAAGTCTTTAATCGAATGTTCACGCTCGATCTTTGTTGGGGGAACAATTGTAAATATATACAAACGCAATCGTGCGCGTAAACGTGCCTACTCGATGAAAACGAGACCGTTATCGCGTCGATGCGCCAGTCACATGGTGGTCTCTCAATAATTTTGGTTCGCGTGACGCACGTCTCGATGATTTTAGATAGAATAAAAAAAAAAAATACTCGAACCGAAGATTTCGAGCTATCTGTTACTCACATTCCGAGATAAAAAGTTGACTTATCCGCCACTGACGATGGTCAGGGCTGCGTCAAGGCGGGGGCTATATTTTGAAGGAGGTATTCTACAAATTCGATCGAAAAAATAAATTTTTTTTGCACATTTTTTGTAAGAAAGCAATAAAATTTTTTTAGCAGGCGTTCCACTCACATTTTCGTTCAACTTTCTGTTTAAATACAAAATAAAAAGTGTAGAAATTATTTAGAGTTTTTGGAAATTTCAAGTTCTTCAGGAGACATGTCTTTATTGGCGAAACTAGGGATATTAAGATGTGATTTCATCTTTCTTTACTGTTCATAATTGTTCATAATTTATCGAAATGAAGAATAAAAAAGAAACGAGTCATTTGATTTTATGGTACGAGTAAACAAACTCGCACTGTTTTAAACTGACAAATTAAAACATTAAACCAGCTGTCAAGTTGTCAGATAACTGGACGCGTTGGATTATGAAGACTAGTCTAAATCGCGTCTTCGACAAGGGGAATGTGGACAGTGTTGAGTAATGTTTGCTTAACCTAAAGCCTAGCGAAAACTGTCGAAAACGTCTGATACAGCACGACTGGAAATTCCTGCCAGAAGACTCAAGTTCCCTTTTTAAAAATGTTTTAATTTCAATATATTAATTTAATATTGCATGGAAATTCACATAACTCGATAACTTACTGCAGCAATATTAAAAATGTGGTATTAGAAATGGTATCGTTTACTGAGAACTGATAAAAAAAGAATGCTTTCCAGCAATATTAATTAATCTCGTGTCGATATCGTTCATAACGCAATTACGTCTTTACTGGCAATAGTTATCGAACCGTATACATACTTTTTTAATTTCCGTATTTATTTACTTTGATTTGTCTCCAGTCACGCATGAAACTTTCCATGGAGTAATCTTCCGCCGTGTACAGCCTGAACGCCAGTAACCTACTTTAATATCTTCATTTTCTTGCTAAATTATTGCACAAACTTCAAACGCAATTGTTCGAAAACGTGTATTACTCGAGTCGACGTGTATGCAACATATTCAATTGTTAAAATTATTTGGCCGACGACGAATCGCGGACGATGCATGGGTCTGACCAAGCAGCTGTGTCGGCAGAAAAAACTATAGTAAGCTGTTTCGTTTGTACATTTTTATCTTTGTAAAAGGTATTAAAATATCAGATCGTCTCTCGTAATTAAAAACTCAACCGTTCAGTTTCCTAATTTTACGTTTATTTTTTATCTACTACGTTTCTCTTTTCCCCAGATGATTATTAAACATTTAGAGATCCTGGCCGCCATGATCACTAGGCACAGTCCTGTCTGCGATCACTACTGGGGGGAAAACACACGATGGAAATAAACGACAGTATTTTTCTAACGTGTCAATGTATCGCTTTGGATCGAGACACCCAGTCACTTCTGTTATAGTTTAATCTTTCGATCTTAGAATCGAATGAGTTCGTTCTACAAGACAAGCATTGCTGCCTACTTTCTTATCGCTTTCCCCAAGAGTCTGCTACTGAAATAAAAAGTACCAACTATTGCAACTTTCGTTTTTTAACGCGTCAGCTGCTGGACGAATACCAGGTCCAAATTTCATTTTCGAACGATCGAAAATTCCTCAAATTAAAGTTTTTTGCAATCTCGTCTATTCAGATTTATTTTCTTCCACATCTCGAATCCCTGTGCCCTCGAAAAGTAATTATTCTGTGAAAAAATCATTCGTAACTGTTCCAAGAAGTTAAATCGAAATTATAAGTTCTATGAACTCTGCTCGGAGGTGTCCACCATCGGGTGTTTATTACGTGTTTGCTCGAATGGAAAGTAACGAGCGTCGTTGGAATGTTCAAGAAGAACGCTGGATGAGGGACAAGTGCCGAAACAAACGCTGCGAGCTGATCGACGGTAAACAAATCGATGGAGAATATCAATTGGCAGTCTGGGTTAAATTGACGTCGTTGCTTTCGATGACGACGATTCCCGAGGGTTGTTTCTCGTTGACCCCGACCAGGGGATCATCCTTGGCCCGGGCAAACGTGTTGGTCGTGCCCCCAAGGCTTATTAATCGAATAGGGCATCGGGCCAATTATCTTTGAGAAACGAGTCGACGCCGCGGCGCGCTACTTTCTACGCACTCGCATCGAACATCAGATCGACTGTTCTAGAACATTCCATTGCTCTCGGTTCTTCTCATTCTCACGCGTAATGACAATGGCGACCATATTATTTCCGAGCGCGGCAGTGATTTCAGTACTGCTTCAGACATTGCAAGCACGCGTATCTACCCCATCCTCGGTGGTTGTTTTTCTCTTAACAACATCCATCACTGTACTTGTATCAAACCTGAACGCGATTTTCCATTGACGTGAAAAATCACGTCCCATTATTTACAACCGAACTCGACGAACACCGACGTTCAACTGACCTGAAATGCTAGCGATCCTCTATTTTTGAAAACGTTGGTCTAAATGCAACAGGATACGAGTACGGAAGAAGAAAATAAAAAAGAAGCATGGGAGTTTTACATCGCGGTATTAGGTCATCCTGGAAGTTTCCGTAGTTTTCGTGGTATCTCAGTTTCATGACGCAGCATATTTTTATTGTTATACAGACTTGATTGGGCGCGTTCGTCCGCGTACTGACGTAAGCAATATAACGCGCAACATGGCAACTGAAGTTTAATTGACACCGAAATCGTGCCTCCTGCGAGCAATATCAGCGAAAAAAGTATCCAAATCACTTCCCCCCCTTGAAATTTCGCATATTTGTAGATCTATGTAGTCGGCGTAAATTTGTCCTTAAACGCAGGTATCTTATCGGTCGCTTAATTTCCTGAAATTAACAGAAACGTTGGAATTCTTTCAAGTATTCCAAGTCACGAATGACTGCGAATCGGTAACGACCGTTCAAAATTGACCGATAATTTTCCAGAAAATATGATTTATCGATGAGACCGAAATTAGAAATAGATCCGCCGTGTACGCGAACGATTGATTGCGCACGGTTCCAGCTGGGAGAGGGGGGATAATTTATCAAACGTATCGCGATAACGAGTTTCGGTTTTATGGTCAGGGTCCACGGTATAGCGTTAAGGATGATGAAATTGCAATAGCGCCTAGTTCATCGACTGAGCGGCCAAACGATCTACATATCAATCACTTCGATCCTCTGAACTCCTCGGGCACGTTCGTGATGAACGTACGATATGTGTTCCGTCGATAGTTTTCCTCGATCTCTAACATCGATCGACGAGACTAATGATTACATTTGCATGGGGATTTTTCCAGAATCGGGAATACCCGAAAATTATCTTCCTTTTGAATTAAGCGCACTCTACATTAGGGATTAAAAAGAAAATCAAATATCTTTTGGTTGTAAATAATAATCCACTAAAATTCGCTGTATCTCGTATCCTTAAATCAAGATCGATCGCAGAGTGTTTTTGAAATAGCTTGTTAGATAACCGTTTATCTACCAGTCGCTTCAACGAGTTCTATACTTAGAGACAATCTCTGAAAACGAAAACCTTTCTATTGTTTTGAAGGTTTTACACAAAATAATACATTTGCCTATATATTTAAATCCAGAATTATTTTTCTTCGTAGATATTTATATCCTCAAGATGAAACTAAATAAAAGATCGTGGTAGTCTGCAGTGTCCGAAAAAAGTATGGTTGCCCAACCAAAAAACATTCTTCGGAAATCAAAAATTTGTTTAGAAAATGTTTGGAATCTTTGAAACGGAACGATTGAGTAGAATTATTACGCGTGCTGTTTGCCCGTGGCCGATTACTGTGCGAGCGATTTCGAAGCAACGATCGCTGAGAACATTCGAGAGCCGGGTCGATTCGCTGTCGGGCGATCGTTCTCGCTCGTCTTCGCGACAGAATACCGTTTACATACTATACATATACATTGTTGCTGTCGTGGGTATAACGACGGCCGTGACGCTTGGTCAGCGTTAGCGTATGCACGCTGTTAGATTAAGCACAATTGTGCACGGGCACGCATTTGCATTCGAAGCGATTTGGACCGCGTCGTCTGTACGTAGGCGTCTCAGCGAGTCTTCAACTTCATCCTTTCGCGTGACCACACCTCGTGTAAACGCCCCAACAACCGTCAGTAACCCATTACCGCGTGTATTCTGCTCTAAAACTTAAAAAAATCAATTTAAGAAAGTTTAAAATCTATATCTTCATTTTACTCGATAAAAATGCTATTGTTAAACTGTAACTTTGGATTTACATAATCGCATAGACGTGTACACGTTCGTGTATGGCTGACGCTTAAAAATTGACGTTGAAAAATGAAATGGCAATTTAAGCAATAAAGTAATGGAAAAGTAGTAAAGGAACAGCGACAACTTTGCTATACGACTTATATCTACTTTAGAAAATGAATTGTTAAATTATAGATTATAAACTTCTAACTAAGATAACGCCTGCAAATCGTAA